CGCGCGTGCGTGCGTGCGTGCGTGCGTGCGTGCGTGCGTGGGTGGGTGGGTGGGTGGGTGGGTGGGTGGGTGGGTGGGTGGGTGGGTGGGTGGGTGGGTGTGTGTTCGTGTGTGTCTGTGTTTGTGTCTGTGTCTGTGTCTGTGTCTGTGTCTGTGTCTGCGTGTCCGTGTTTATGTCTCTCTGTGGTTTTGTGTTTGTGTTTGTGTGCGTGAGAGAGAGAGAGAGAGAGAGCGAGAGTGAGAGAGACAGAGTGCGCGTGTGTGTGTGTGTGTGGCGGACAGCCTGGGTGCACGCAGCCAATCAACCAGCGCCCCACACTGGACGCACCAGGCGTTCGGGGTTGGAACGCGCGCGCTAGCGGTTTGACTGCGCAGGCAGTGATTTCCTCCGTTGGCTGCGTGCAACACAAGCAGTCCATAAGTGCGGGGCGGGGGTGCTACTGGTAGTCAAGCCAGAGTCAAGCTCTCCCCTGTTGTTAATTTTAAACAATTTGCACTCCTATTTTGGGGGGGCCGCAACACTTGGCCTTTGGTTTTCCACCAGTTTCCCTTGTCATCGGGTGGCGCTGGTGATGCTGAGCGAGGACGCCAAAGCAGTGCTGAGGATGCTGGGCCCAAGGAGATTCGAACATTTCGGGATTTAAATACAATGTGTCCCGTATGAAAGGATAAGTCCGGATTCACTGTGTTGGGGAAGGGTACGGGAGAGGGAACGGAACAGGTAAGGAAGAAAGCCGTCTGTTTTCAGCGGATAACCAGCATTCTTATTTGTTTTGAAGGAATGTGAAGTGTCGCGCAGAATTTGTGGCGCGCTTGTGCGTGGTTTGCCCCAGGCTTTGGGATCGTCTTCAAGGACACCCTTGAAGCTTTGCTCGCAGCAGGTGGGGTCGACGCACGAATTCCAACCAAAGACCAGGTGAACGTTGCAGGGGAATCCTTGTTTCGTACATCTGCTGAAACAGACGTTGTGGACCTTTTCATTGGCCACTCCTGGAATGCTGGGCGCTGGCCCAAATTTCTGGCGCTTTGCATGTGCCTCGGCAGGATATGGGTGTGTGCCTTTTTAAGGTGCGCAAGGTTTAGTTCAGGATGGAAGTTCGACCTGTGCGAATCATCCCCCCGCACCATACCTCGAAGCATGCTTCCGAACCATACCCCGAATCATACCCTCTTCACAACGTCAGGTACTACTACCACTTCTAATACTACTGCTACTCCCTCTACGACAACAACCAGGACTACTTCTACTATTGCCACTGCTATTACTACTGCTACTACTACTGCTGCTGCTAACTACTAGTTACTAGGACTACTGCTACTACTACTACTACTACTTCTTCTTACCGCTTCTACTCCAGCACTACCACTACTACTATTGCTGCTGCTGCTACTACTTCCAGAGCGGAAACACCTCGAATCACGCACGAACAATACGTCGAACCATACCTTTTGTTTGTGCGCGTGGCCCTGTGGCCAAGTGCGCGAAATTCGAGATTGTCAGCCAATGTTGCAACAGAAGTTTCAGTTCCTGCGAACCATACCCCGAATCATACCCTCGAATCATACCTCGAATCATACCCGCGAATCATACCCCCCATCCAAACTTCCCGTTTCGAGCGCCTTTTTTTGGTACAGGGAGAAATGAAACGCTTTGTTTCACAGGAAGCTAGACTTGCGAAGTGTGGCAGGAGGGGACTGACAGCCCCCCCTATTCTGCCATTGCTCTTTTGACCTTGCAACGGCCCCCACCTTTAACCGCCTTGCCCCAAACCGACAACAGCGCGACATGCGCCTTTAATGGCCGAGGTTGTCTCAAGTCTCTCCCCTGGCATAAACTCAGGTCATTGCAAGGTGTAAAGGTTTGTGAAGCCTGTCGTGAGGGCAGGTCAAATCAGCGTCCAGCTGATGCCCGAAACTCGCGGCTCATTGTGAGGCTTTTGGCTTTTGCGCTTGTGGCGCGGGACCGGCGTTTAAAAGATCAGCCTGAAATTGCTGCTGGGCGTTTACTTGCGTGACAATGTGCGATGGGCGGGATGGTTGGGGGATGGCGGCCGGCTGTGATGAAACGAGTTCGTTCTCTGACGGAAGAAGAAGTTCGGACAAGCTCCCCACCAAAGCAATGATCGACTAAAAGGAGATGGTGTATGTTCGTCTGGAGAAAAGCATGCGAGAAAGAGAAGGGCTATACCTTCAAACGCCCGAAGAACTCAGCTGAAGTTGCACACACGTCAGGCTGCTGAAGCTCAGTCACGCCCTTGCTCTTTACCGTCTCGATTGCCCATGAGTGTCCGCGCTCCGTAGTCATGTTGTGGAAGTCATCCGCAACCGTGGCGCCCAACCGGCTTCGGAATCTATCCGCCCAATCATTCTCACCGTTTCTGCACGCTGGGCCCCTTGCACAGTGTTGCGGGATTGCCTTGATCCAAGCGCCCTGAGGTTGATGCTGGGGACATCGTGCTGGGCGTGTCGGGACAACTCCACCCACCAAGAAGCACGAGAATTGCCAGAAAGTCGTTGCTGAAGGTCAGGCAGCCCTGCTTCACACAAGGAAGACAAGGGAAGACTAGCGGGTCACGCAGATATTTTCGCCAATCACCAGCGTACTGGCGGACCAAAAAAAGAACAAAGGAAAGATGCAGTTCTGAGATGGGCCCAACGGCAAATGGAATCGCGTTGACGCACGTGAGTGGTGGGGCAGCGATTGGTGTCCACTGACTCCAGGCCTGCCGCTGCACGGCCGCTTCTCCTGCACGGACAGATCAGAATGGTCTGTGCCACCTGGGAAATGTGTCAAGCGACATGCGCAAGTAGGATCCTTTACATGTGGTGGCCAAATTCAAGTCCCCCCCCTTGCGAATATGGTCATAGCATGGTGCAAAGGTTTGCGGAGGATTCCGTGCGAGCAGGTCAAAAACATATCGAGCCGACGCCAAAATAATCGCAGCTTCATTCTGGTGGGTTTTTTGCGCTTGTGGCGCGGGACCGCTGCGGGACAGACGATTGAGGTCTGTTGGGATAGGGTGCCCTCGATTCTCAACAAGTCACATCTTCAATGAGCACAAACCTCTTTTCAGGATTCAAGAAGCATTCCAGCCGTTTACCCGACGACTAAGGTACTTCAATCTCGGCATGGCAATCAAATATGCCTGTGGTACTTGGCTTCTTATGGTGGTCGTGCTGGTGGCACGGAGTGGAATAACCGGCCTAGGAGGCAGCTGCCTTCTCTTGCCATGCCTGGTATACCTGCCCATGATTGTGTTGCTCCTTGTGTTTCTATTGGGGCATCAGATCGTGGGTGAGACTCCATCCCTGTGGGTGGACAAGCTTTGCATTCACCAAACAGACCCAGACTTGAAGGCTGAACAGATTGCAGCTCTCGCGGTCTTTGTCGCTCGGTCACAGCGAATGTTGATCTTGTGGGACGACACGTACTTTGAGCGCTTGTGGTGCAATTTAGAGCTCGCCACCCACGCACGCTTTTGCGGAGCAGAGAAAGTGGAAGTGCTGCCTTTGTGGTTGGCCCCATGGCTACTAGCCTCGATCTTGCTGGATATACTCGGTGTGACCCTCTTTTTCCAGTTGGAGCCGGTCTTTCCCAAATGGAGCGAAGCCGTCACTAGGTACGCAGCGGCGATGCTTGGGGAGACCAGAGGCGGATCATATTTTGTGGCATGCTTTGCCGTCTGGCTGATGTCAAGCATAGTCTACTTGCCCATCTCTATACCTTGTTTCTTCTCGTTCCGGATGAAGCTGAGAAGTCACCAGCTAATGCTGAATCAGATGGCAGCTTTTGATGTGAAGAATGCCAAGTGCAGTCTTCCTGCGGATCGGGAGCCCATTACCCAACACGTGAGAGAGCTCTTCAGGGATAGAGATGGTCGTGAAGAGGACGCCAAGGGAACGGGTGATGTTGATGCTGGGGAGGCAGGCAGCTTTGTTTGAAAGTCTCAGCCAAGGCCAAAAACTGAACAAATCCGAACACCTTGTTCCAAATGTGTTTTATGTCAACCTCGCCAAGGGCATACTCTGCCTCCCAAAGCATTGTTCTGAAACCAAAACTAATCTTGAGGTGGCCAACTTCCAGCGGTGTTCATTGAATTTCACAGCGAGTAGCATGGTATGATGATAGCATACCATGTGTTTCTTGCAGATCTTGCAGGTCTGTCTTCAAAATTATGCCGTCAACTACTTCCCCGACCCTCTGCAGCGCTTCAATGTCTACGTCCGGGGGAAGCTTCGGGACTCTGTGATCGCACAGATCGGGGATGAGCTGTTTGTGCCTTGGCGGACCTGCTTGATTGCTTTCCTCCCCATGATCCTATACTCCTCTGCAAATGTGCTGGGCTGCGACAATGCGCCATGTGAGATTTCCTTTCGGCTGCAGGGCTTTCGCTCTGCGAGTGAATGCATGATCACAAATGCTGCGGCCTGGGTGCTGTGCATTACCTTGGCATTTCCACTGACCTACCCCATCCTCCTTCGGATGCTCAAGTTAATTTTCTCATTCGGAGATGGTGTGCCGCAACATGTCGCAGCTTTCTTGTGCTGTCCTTTGGCATTCATGTACAACTACATTTGCGGCGGCCTCATTTGGGCGTCTCTTATTCCTTTGGTGTTGCAGTACTCGGTGAACAAGCTCTTGTTTTTCCTCTTGGTCCTAGTCGTTCTGTCAGTGCAACTCGCGTGGCTCTTTTCTGGCCACATCCGGCAACGCAATGAAATGTCATGCCGCTGCACCAAGCGTTATGAGGCAGTCAGTGGCAACTCGCACGCCACTTGAAATGATTCTACATTACCTTTCTCTTTGGATCCGGATCCATAGAGCTCTTTGGATCCGGATCCATAGAGCATATGCAAGTACAAGAAGTACTTGGAGTACTGGGCAGTGGCCGGTTTGGCAACCAAACATGCATATTGCCCGGAACTATTTTACCTATAAGACTGTTCGAAGGGAACAATCGTGAGACGTATCATGAGCTTGGCTCTCCTATTCAAGGTCTGCTTGCCGCGGTCCAAGTTTCTGGTTTCACCTTCCCAATAACGGTTTGCCGACTTTTGCAAGACGCCGCACCGCGCGCGTACCATTGCCAATTGCAGTGTTTGTGCCCCATGTCAATGCAGCATGGATTGAACACCCTTTCTGACGGTCATGATGCTTGACATTTTTGGTCTGGTGCAGCGGGCTTCTGACAAAGTCAGTGGAGCCAGTGCCGCTATCAACCGCCAGGTCGCAGTACCCAAGCCTTCCATGCCGAGGTGCAACCTGAGATATCCCCACCCCTTTCAAAATGGAATTGGGGGAGGGGGGTGACCCGTGGAATTCATTTAGGGTTCCATTTTCCTTTTGTGGGGAAGACTGAATATTGGAATTGCGGGACCCCCCACCCCCCTGCCCCTTGGGGTTGGGGGGATCCTGAGTTGAGAGTCCGCAGACTGCATTGCAACCGAAGTTGGACGAAGCGGAGGGAGTTTGCCACCATACCCTTTCAGGCCAGAACCATGGCAGCCAGGACCGGTTGCAACTCAAGGCAGGGTGGTAATGTAGCAATTCGGGATGTTAGTGTTTTTCCCGCCTCAGATCTACAGCCTTCTGGCGTGGGGACCCCATTTCTGCCGGACCGAAGGTAGTGCATCCAATTTCGCTTCTCAGGCGTCAGAAATGTCGCCGCAAAGCCTCCCAGGCAAAAAAAAACTCGTTTCAGCACGCGCGGCCGTGCCTATGGTGCAAGGCATGGGGCCAGGCTCTTCGAGCGCACTGGTTCCACTTCCAAAGGCACGTCCCTTTGCAGAACAAACCGCCGGAAGATGCCCGAAGTGAAGGCACAAGCCATGCCGTCTGCTGCATCGCTCGAGGACACACTTCCCATCACTTCCCGATGGATGCCGTTTTCATCTGGTTTCGAATGTCCGAGGAGCAGCTTCAGGAGCAGGCGAAAGCGGCCATCATGAAGCTTCAGGGAGGAGAACCTGAAGAGATAGGCAAGAGTTGCTGTTGCTGTTGGCACTAGTTTTAGGAGCAGGACTAATTGGTGCTGGCTACAGAGTGCAAGACAAGTGCTTAGACATGCCCAAACTCGGAAACCAACCTCGATTCTGCATCCCAAACCATGCCCTTGCTAAACTACGCTAAGCTGGCATTTAGACAAGCATTACAACACATGTGCCAGTTTCTGCAAACTCTGCAAGAAAGTCAAACCAAAATTTACATCGAACATATGTTGTTCTTTTGGGTTGCAGAGCGAGAGAGAGAGAGAGAGAGAGAGAGAGAGAGAGAGAGAGAGAGAGAGCTGGCTGATGGGTTGCAGCAGACCAGTTGTGACACGCATTGTTTTGAAGAAACGGATCATTGCGGGAAGGGGGGGGCAGGGCCGCACAAAAAATCAATGAATCGCCAGGTGGTGTTGATGCTGCCGTTTTCGAGGACCACTGTTTGCACTTTGGTCGATGGGTTTTGGCAATCACACGTGATGAACTTGGAAGTCAACCTTTTGGCGCCAGGAACAAGTTCAAGATTTCCGACAACGCTTCGGTCTCGATGACCGGGTGTATTCGGAACTCAGAGAGGCCAGATACGCAAGCGCACAAGGCACATTCCAACACAATGCATGCTCCATGCACGGCAGGTCATGTCACGACGGACGGACACGTTCCAGCAGGCTCTGATTCGTCACCCTGGGGATGGCATGATTTTGGTTTTTCAGGACATGCAGATGCTCTTCAACCAACTGACCCATGCACGGCATCCGCCTGGTTTGCTATTGGTTGGGCGCTCGTAGCATGTTTGCTTTTGCTTGCTGCCATGCCTCCAAAGAGAACGAGTTGGGACGTTACGCAGCAAGGGTTCGGCAGCTTGTCGACCAGGTCAAATTGCGCGAGCTCAAGCAGCTTTCACCACCAGTTGTCAAGAGCTCTTCATTGATGGTTGTTTGAGAGATGTTATGTTTCAGCGATTTTCTTCTTGTTTGCCAATGCGTGCAAGGAGCTCAGATATCTGCGGCGACTTTGTGAGAGGCTGGCAATTTGTTTCCGCCAGTTTGCGTAGCATTCAAATTGATTTCCATGTTTGAGAACCTTTGGATTTGAAAGAGTTTTGCACTGTGGTTTAACATGGTGGGCATTGACAATCTGAACATGTTTAAGACTGCTGATCATTGCACGGTCCAAAGTCCAAACGAATTGATTTGATATATCATGATATATCAATTTGTTCAGAGACATTGCAGCATTGGCAGGTTATTGCGCCCGTGGGGAACTATGCCGCTTCTCCCATGACAAGGCACTCATTGTTGGGGGTGACTGCATGCTCAAGTTGAAAGAAGAGGAAACACCATGCGAATTAGGAGGGTTTCAGAAGGCGAAATTTTGCAGATCCCGTTATTGACAGTTTCCAAGCAACAATCAAGCAACCTAAATCAGCGGATCTGATTTGAGAAAGAGGAAAACTGCTAATCGGCAGTGCGAGCACAATGGGCAGCGGCCAATTTACAAATCCGGGTCTGTAGCTGCTCGCAAGACAGCAGCACCAATAAACGGCGTTGCGTGTTGGCTTCATTTCAGTCGTGCTTGGAAAGCGTTGACATTTAAAACTAGGATGCCAACTCTTGTTGCAGGGGGCATCGCCAAGCTCAACCAGACCACCTCCAGATCCGGCAGTGATGCAAGGTGACTTTTGCAATTGGCCTGACCCCCTTGCAATCCACTGCTTATGCCGGAGGAGAGATCATGTCCTTGGTGCAAAAGTTCAGTCTAGATGACAGGACGAGCAATCGGATAGGATTGTGCCTGTTGCATCGTGCCGTATCGTGCCCCAAAACAACCAAAGAGGGACACCGTGTGCAGGATAAAAGTCAGGCTGATCGAGACCCTTACGCGGCGAGTTCATGGCTTATCGATTCTTGAATGTGCTTGTTGAGAAAAAACACTGTTTTGCCTGTTGCGATGTGCATTGGCACGTGTTCTTTCCTTGAGCATCTCGAGGCAGCTTCGTTTTGGGATGCATGCGCCCCAGTTTTTGAGATGCGAGTGCTGGCACACTGCTTCCACTCGTGTTTTCATGCAGCTCTTGTGAGAGGACATGGCAACGCTTCGCGACATCATGGCGTCGGCTGCTCGTGTCATTTGAGATGACTGATCGCAAGTGTTGAACTGAAAGGACCGCACGCAATCCTCCGGGGCTGCTCTCTGTCAAGCTGACAGAGATGGAGCAGGGCCGTTTCGTTGCCAAAGGCAGATAATTGCGCACTCCGATGGTAGGTGTCGTGTTTTTCTTGCCAGGCGGCACGGTTGGACCACCAGTTGTCGAAGTGCCAAGGGTCATCAACACAAACAAGGCTTGTAGACTTGTTGGCCTCGGCAAATTCATCACTATCTTGTTGCAGTCGATGGAGATGTGTGGAGATTTCCGAAGAGGCGTTTGTACTCGCCGGGGGCTCACTTCGATTGTGGAGGTCGGATTCCCTAAGGCTCACCGCTCCAACGCAGGCCCCCGTGCCCTCCAGTGAAGAACCCCAAAAAAAATCCCTGAGAAATCCAGGGGCCCTTGAAAACAAGCCATTTTGAGGATTCCAAGACTCATCGGCAGCCTCGGGGTGTGTGACGCTTCTTTCCTGTCTCGTGCATCTCTAGGTGGAGACAGGTGCAAGTTTTCCCACGGAAATCCTCAACCCCCGGGTGGGCCACCCCCCACCGTCATGGCGGCCTGCGCCCCAGAAGTCTCGGGCCGCGGATGTTGCGAGACAGCGGAAGGGGGGGGGTTTCGACTGGCAGGCGCTCACCGAGAAAGCCGGGATTGTTGGCCAGCCTCCCGGAGTGGGAGTTTTTTGTTTTTCTTTGGCGGGCATGCTGGCAATGTGCGGTTTGCATGTGTGTCAGGCACGCCTGCCTGTGGCTGAGATGGTTTTGAGTCGGGAGAGACGGGAAATGCGAGCGACATGGCCAGCCCATGCATCCAAAAATTGCCGATGTTTTACATGGATAATGGCAGCAGATGCCATGATGCTGAGGCTTCAGTCCCAGCAACGCCCGGGTTTACGGCTGGCTCGCGTTTCTCGGACACACCGCCGGCTCCCCTGGGCTTCTCCGATACACCGTCGGGGCCAACAACTACGAGAGCTGAAAGCTTGCTAGGGAGGCGCGGGCTGGAAACCAACCCATTTTCGCATGTTCGCGAATTTTTGCAACGGTTAGCTTTCGGACTTGCAGGAAGCGGCGCTCAAAGAGCCCCAGCTCCTCAAGTGGAAGTCGTCGGAAGTGCGGGGCCGAATTGAGCTGATTGTGGTGAGGATCACATAACAGCAAAGTATTGCTCGAAACCGATCAGCAAGTGCATACAGCATGTTTGACATTGGACCAACAAAGGAAGTCGGAAAGCAAAAAGAAATCGAGGCTTGAGCTGGCCAGTGCAAGTGCGTGGGAGTGGGAGTGCATGCAGCATGGGACAGTCCCAGGAGCCGTCGCCAAAGCCGGAGGCGAGAGCGAAGCCGAGAGCGCAGCAGAGACCGTCGAGGTGATCGCCGGGACCGCGACCGGCGAGACGACCGCCGGGATCGCAGCCGTGATAGACGGGACCGAGAGCGGGATCGTGATCGCGATCGAGACCGCGATCGAGACCGCGACCGGCGAGACAGGGATAAAGAACGTTCCAAGAGCAGAGACCGCAGCCGACAAAAGGAAAGGGACAAAGATCGAGAAAAAGATCGAGAAAAAGATCGAGAAAAAGATCGTGAGCTGCAGCGAGATATTCAGGAGCAGTTGGAGGATGAACAGCAGCGAACGCAGAAACAACGTGAGCTCGAAGAGCAGCTGCAGAGAGAACTTGAGGCGCATGTTGCAGAGGAGCAGCGGCGCCTTGAGGAGACCAGCCAGGCGAATCATTCCGAGGCACAGTCCGCAGGGCCGGACGACAAGGAGAAAAGCGAAAAGGAGAAAAGCAGGGGAAGTGACGAGAAAAAGGAGAAGCAGAAAGAAAAATCGACAAAGGAGGCGGCGAAAGAGCCAGAGAAGGCAAAGGAGAAACAAAAAGAGAAAGAGAACGTAAAGGACAAGCAGAAGGATGCTGACAAGTCCAAGGACAAGGCAAAGGAGAAGGACAACGTGAAGGAGAAACAAAAAGAAGACAAGACAAAGGAGAAGCCAAAAGAGAAGGACACATCCAAGGATAAGCAGAAGGAGTCGGACAAATCCAAGAAGGAGAAGGAGAAGGAGAAGGAGAAGGAGAAGGAAAAAGAGAAGGAGAAGGATGCGAAAGACAAACAAAAAGACAAAGCGAAGGCAGATGTCAGCGTAGTCGTTCTATGGAAACTGCTAGTGTTGATGTTTCAAGCGGCTGTTCGTGATGTGTTGTATCGTTCCGAGCACGTGCAGGAGAAAGAAAAGACAAACAAGGTCAAAGACGAGAAGGAGAAAAAGAAACGGTCCAGGCCGCGGTGCCAATGTTTTATCGGTCAATCTGACAACTATGTTTTTTCATCTCAAAGTTCAAGTGCTGCCGAGGTCTCGATCTGATGATGAAAAGGCTGGAGCGCACCTATGCTTATGGCACACACTGCAATTGTTGTTCGTAAAGCTGGCACATGACTGGCAGGCCAAAGAGCGAAAGGTGAAACAAAAAACTAAGAGCCACACCCTTACATTTGGCGTTGCCGGGAATGGAACGTCTACAGCAGACACTGGGTGATTTATGTGAGCATCCAACATGTCTCGAATCAACGTGTGGAATTTGTGTCTTGCTCTCACAATGCCTTCTGTGATGGAGGCTGATGTGGCAGTTGAGTGAGTAGTAGGGCATGGGAGATGCAATGGAGCCGTGCTCAAAATTGTTTTTGAGTCGCTGAGAGTTCGCTAGATGTTGCCAGCCATCGCCAGATCATGGGGTTGAAACATTGTATTCGTCGCCGCAGCTTGGTCATAAACGTGCAGCCTTAGGTTGTGCCCGCCAGCTACATTGCAAGCATGATGATATGCGCGCTTGGTTCTTTGTCTCTTCCAACAACTGTTGACCGATTTTGCTCGTGCCAACTCTTGTTTGCCTGCTAGAGGTTGCTAGTGAAGTCATACTCTTGCATTTTGTTCCTTCGGATGTCAATCAAGCAAGATCGACGATTGGAGGGCTCAGGGGCCAATGAACCGCTCCGCCAAGAAGCGATGGTCATGCCTTCTTGTGCGCTAGCTGACGCAAACTTGTGTCAAAACAAACATTTGTTGACCAATGCGAGGTACTTGCGCTGTCTGCATCGAGCTGTTTGGTGCAGGCCATGCTGAAGCTGGGATATGTGGCACAAATGCTGCCAGCCATGTCAGGTCCAGAAGTCTTGGTTTTCCCGGAGGGGGCACGGGTTGGCTGCGCACAGCCCGGGTATGGCAAGTTCTGTTTTTGGCGCTTGCTTTGGGTTTCTTGTGGTGAACTGCGTCGCTCTGCCACAACTTGTAAGGTCCGCGCTGAAATTGAAGAGCAGTTGCCAGAGGCCAGCAACTTCCAATTGCGTGCTTGCGAGACTGCATGTTTGTGGTGATAACCATTCACCAGCCTTGTGTTTACTCGAACTACATTCCGGGCAGACGCACGGTAGCAGGTGCGACCTGGGATCTATGTTGCCAGAACATCGTCGGCCCCTGAGATCAACTGCGCACAACTGGCAGCATGTCATGATCCCAAAGCTTTCAGGATACGCCTGCGTTCCGAAGCTGACGCCGCTGAGATCCTAGCTGGCATGGCTGCAAATAGGTGGAAATTTGCAGCGGCATCCAAGGTAGCGGAACTGATGGGTGACATGGTCAAGGCAGGGAGCAGTGAGACCTCGCAAGCAAAAGCCGGAGTTGAGGTTGGCGAGGTCTTCGAAGTCACGGAAGTCGCGCCCACCGATGGGTCTGGCTCCTGGCTTTTTGGCACCCTCTTGACCCAATGGCAAGCAGATGCCAAGCTGTTTTTTTTTTTTTTTAAGAGGAGGACCATGTGTTGTGCGAAAACGTCAATCCATCTTGCGAGGTTAACCTATATGCGGGTGGGTGAGCGGGGCTGGATCTTCGACCTTGGCATCGCCGGTCCATGGGCCGGGTGCAGTCGAGTTGATGCGAGCGCTGCGTAGATGGCCAGGTCGGGCAACCAATCGTGGAAGAAGTCTTTGGGGAGGAAGCAATGAGGCCAGCCGCCATGTGCTGCATTTGACAGGGTTGACTGCCTAATTCGGTTTGTTATGAAAGGCAAAACATTGGTTTATGATGGCTGCCAGATTCTTGCACATCACCGTCACATCACCCTTATGTGCATTGCGCTCACGTATCCCAGCAGGTTTGCTAGAATATTGCGAAGTCCTGCTCGCTATGCCGAGTCAGAAGCTTTGATGGATTGCTGTCGCCATGGTTGCTGGAGTTAGAACTGTGTGGAACTCAAAACGTTTGGCGGCGTATCAGGTATCAGGCAGCTTTGGGCGGCGATGAGGATTTTATGGAAGCCCGGAGCATAGTCACCTGCTTTGATTGGAAGGCGCAACATGGTCTGATACTAACGCAACATGACAGTGCTTAGTTGTTCAGTGCTTGTTTGCCATGTGATAGCTTTGTTGCACCTGGCTTAAAACAGGCACCAATAGCATGATTGTTTCAATTAGACACGGACCCAACTATCAAGTTTATTTTTATAAATATCTCCACCCCACAGGGCAGACAGTGAGGGCCTTGACTATCTTCAGGGGGCACTGTTTTGGACATCATGTTCAGTGTCCAGACAGACGCAAGCAAGCAAGCAAGCAAGCAAGCGCATTGACCAACACACACACAATCAATCAAATAGACAAGCAACAGCCAAGCACAGTCACACACGGACTATAGAACAAATGTACAAACAAACAAGCCAGCACACTGGCAGACAGACAGAGACAGAGACAGAGACGGAGACGGACACGGAGACAGAGACAGAGACAGAGACAGGCAGACAGACAAGCACACAGACAGACAAGCACACAGACAGACAAGCATACAGATAGACTGACAGACAGACCGTCAGGCGGGCAGTGAGACAGGCAGACAAGCAAGGAAGCAAACAAGCAAGAAAGCAAGCAAACTAACAATCAGCAAACACAAGCAAACACACATCAGTAAACCATCAAACAAGCAAGCAAGCAAGCATCCACGAAAGTCTGCAAATACTCGAACAAATAATCAATCAGGCAAGCAAGCAATCAACCATACAAAAGCAAACAAATCAAACAAACAAACAAACAGGCAGAAAAGCAGACCAACGTGTGATCACACAAGCAACCAAACAGCCAACCCAAACGATCAGAACAATCGCAACCGCGCAAAAATGAACATTTAGAAGCGCGCGGACATCGATACGTGCCTGTCTGTGTTGGGTAGCGCAAATTCGACGCTGCGCTGTTTCCAACAAACCGGATGCTGCTCGCGCGCCAAGGCAAGTGCAGTCCCGGAGGTTACGGAACAGCACCAGCCTCAGAATTTTGAAGATTCATGATCTTGTTGAATTTGCAGGAATGAACAGCTGTGGGAGGAACTTGAGAAGGACCTGCTTCACATTATAGTGCTCGACAGAAACATGTGCAATGGCGGTTTTCGGCTTGATTCGGCAAACGAAGGCATCGGCCGCAGCTCGTTTGGAGGACATCAGCTCAAAGGATCTGGAACCAGAAGAGCAAGAAAGGTCTGCAGCGCGAAAATGTGCCGGTGTCCAGTTTCCTGTTCGTTGCAGGTTTGAGAACCTTCGCGAGGCGCAGCTTCATGTGATAGCGTGGCAAGTGGAGGTAGGCAGTCAATTTGTTTGTGGGTTCGCTTTGATCGAGCTCGTTTTGCTTTACATCTGTGCCAAGTTATCGACGCATGTGATTTGCTCCACATGCAGCTTCCTTTCCGATGCGCAGAACGAGGGTCGACTTCCGGAAGTAAATGAGGATCGACCAAAAAACCCCTATGGTTTTTTTTTGTAATGACTGAATACGAAAGCAGATTCGGTGTTACGGCGCTGTGATCGCGGAAGACCGCGGAAGGGCGAGCGGAAGCTTCGCGGAAGGTTATGTGTTATCATGGGATGAAGCTTTACTCGTGTACTACACGAGTACTAAAAAGTTGTGCTGCTTGAGCTGGGGCAGCTCGTACTCTGCAGCAGCCGCGGGAATTAAAAGCAGCGCCGACTATGATGCCAGAACGCTTTTCGAGGTCCGAAACGCGCGAAAAACGAATTTTGCGGCCCGAAATTCTTTTTTTTTTGTCGCGCGTGTTTCTACAAACTCTGCCGTGGGAATCAAAAGGAGCGTCGAATATGATGCCAGAGCGCTTTTTGAGGTCCGAAACGCGCGAAAAAAAACGAATTTCGGACCGCGAAATTCGTTTTTTCGCGCGTTTCTACAAACTCTGCCGCAGAAATCAAAAAGGAGCGCCGAATATGATGCCAGAGCGCTCCGAAACGCGCGAAAAAACGAATTTCGCGGTCCGAAATTCGTTTTTTCGCGCGTCTCTAATTACTAACTCTGCCGCGGGAGTCAAAAGGAGCGCCGCATATGATGCCAGAACGCTTTTCAAGGTCCGAAACGCGCGAAACAACAAATTTCGCGGTCCGAAATTCGTTTTTTTCGCGCGTTTCTAAAACTCAGCCGCGGGAATCAAAAAGGAGCGCCGAATATGATGCCAGAGCGGTTTTCGCGGTCCGAAACGCGCGAAAAAAACCGAATTTTGGACCGCGAAATTTGGTTTTTTGCGCGTTTCTACAAACTCTGCCGCGGGAATCAACTGCCAGAACGCTTTTCGAGGTCCGAAACGCGCGAAAAAACGAATTTCGATAAAACGAATTTCGGACCGCGAAATTCGTTTTTTCGCGCGTTTTACAAACTCTGCCGCAGGAATCAAAAGGAGCGCCGAATATGATGCCAGAACGCTTTTCGAGGTCCGAAACGCGCGAAAAAACGAATTTCGCGGTCCGAAATTCGTTTTTTCGCGCGTTTCTACAAACTCTGCCGCGGGAATCAAAAGGAGCGCCGAATATGATGCGCTTTTCGCGGTCTGAAACGCGCGAAATCGAATTTCGGACCGCGAAATTCGTTTTTTTCGCACGTTTCCACAACTCTGCCGCAAAAAGGAGCGCCGAATATGATGCCAAAACGCTTTTCGAGGTCCGAAACGCGCGAAAAACGAATCAAAATACGAATTTCGGGCCGCAAAATTCGTTTTTCGCGCGTTTCAACAACTTCTGCCGCGGGCATCAAAAGGCTTTTCGAGGTCCGAAACGCGCGAAAAAACGAATTTCGGACCGCGAAATTCGTTTTTTCGCGCGTCTCTAATTACTAACTCTGCCGCGGGAATCAAAAGGAGCGCCAAATATGATGCCACAGCGCCTTTCGAGGTCCGAAACGCGCGAAAAAACCAATTTCGGTTTAGGGCCCCCCAGAGTTGCGACGGTTGATTTGCGTTCCTTTCAGCGTGATTTTTTTCCTGCGTCTGGTGCTCTTGCTGTTGGCTGCTTCTGTTCCCCTTCCCCAAGCTCCGTTCCTTTTGCTCATGCTTTTTGTTTTGGGTGTGCCAGAGCTCCAAACGATACCCAAAACGATGCCAAAACGAAACCCTTGCAATTGCAGCTGTCGCCTTGTTTAAGCGTGAGATATCGCTTGTGTCTGTTGTCCGGTGCTGCTGCTCGTTCTGTCGCCCAGGGGCGCCGCATTTGTAGCCGCGTGCTGGCGCTCCAAACGATACCCAAAACGATACCAAAACGAAGCCCCCGGAACTGTGGCTGTCGCCGTGCGCGGGGGGTGGCTGGCCAGGTTCTTTACGTAGCGTAGCTTGTCGCTTGTTGCCGCGTTCCTCCTTCCTTTTCTTTCTCCGGTGTTCTGCTGCTCCGTTTCCCACGTTTGCTTGTCCTCCTCCGTCCTTTTGCTCGTGCTGCTCTTCGTCCTATCCTCGCTCCAATCCTAGTCTGCTTGCTTTCTGCACTAGCGCTTCCTCTTGGCTTGCTTTGCTTTTACTTGTAGGAAACTTACTTATGTTCAGACACGTATCAGAACGTGTGGTTTTACCTGCATCGCGGAAGTTCGCGGAAGGGCGAGGCGGAAGGCGATTTTTGGAGCAAGGAATATTGGACAACCCTCAAATCTTCTGTCAGAAAGGACATCTTCTACAGTCTAACGCCAACAATCATTGACAACTCGAGTTGGTTTGCAGTCTAAAACTATGCCTTGGAGATGCAACCCACCTGATCACGGCTTACTAAGATGTTGATTGCAGGCAAAAGACGGCCGCGGAGAGTTTGTTTGTCCCTGACACCTGAAATTTGTTGAAGCAAGGATAGTTTAGTCTATTCGAAATTAGTCTAAGTGAGCCTCATCTATCTATTTATCTAGTTGTCTATCTATCTATCCATCTATTTATCCAGGTATCCATCTATCTATCCATGTATCCATCTATCCATCTATCTACCCATCTACCTATCTATCTATCCATCCATCTATCTATCCATGTATGTGTCCATCCATCGATCAATCTATCTAGCTCGCGTTGCGATGTTCCAACGTTTCCGCAGGCGAGGCTGCAACTGCCCACATGACGTATTTTCTGCAGAGCTGCTCCCCTGTTGTGCCTTTAACCTGCCACGCTTGACGCCCCTTCGTTCATTCGCAAGCACGCTTTGGAATCTGGATTCCTTGTGTGTACTCCTGATAAGAATTGCGCAGGATGTGCAGGAGAGGAACTTGGTGCTGTCCTCCTTGAGGGAGGCCTCAGGTGCGACAGTCACGTGTCATTTGAGAGAGTGCAGATGACGCGTGGGTTGAATGCTCAGCGTTTTGCTCCAGCTTAAGGGTTCCTTGAGCACGGTGCTGTTCTGTCAGGCGAGGCTTTTCGCAGAATATTTATTCCCAGATGGATGAAGCTGGCGCAGCGCAGAAGCCTTGAATCGGGACAGAGCTTTGAGGGCCGTCTCGACTTGTTCGCCTGAGTCCTTCCTCCGGAGATCAAAAAAGAGATGGAGGCGTCAAAGTCTTGGCCCCAACCTGTCATACCCTCGAGGTGTCCAGCAGTATGATCGCTGAGGCAACGCTTTTCATCACTGCCTGGAGGCGGCTTCATTTTGCTTTCTTTTCGGCCCTTCCTTCATCACTAGTGTCTCGTGGAGCTTGCTGCTGGTCCACAAACCACCGCCCTTTCGTGATATATTGCGCTGCTGTGAGGTTCTCAATTCGTTTCTCGCCCTGCTGACGTCGGCCGCAGGATGGACGGGGCAAGTTGACTGTTGCTTATCACAGTAAAGCTGAAAGTATGAGTCTGGGAATAGCCACACCCACAGTGCGTGAAAGGCGCGTGCAAGGAACAAACATTGGGTTCACAGCACAAGACGCAAGAAACAAGGCAGGCTCTTTAAGGTCAAGCGAAAGGAACGCTTTTTTTGCTCTTGAATCAGAGCTGGATCATTTCAAGGCTTGAGGTGTGACGAGGTTGTTTGCAGCCATGTTTGGTTCATTTGTGCGGGTGTGCCATGTGAAGGATGGGGATCAGAGTGCCATCCTCAAGCACGGCCATTTGAGAGCTTGCTCAAAGTTGTACATACATACACATCACGGATGTGCTGCGCTGTCCTGCAAATTGTGCGGACCCGGGAGGCATATTGTCATGAGGCGTGTCAAAATGATGCGTGCTTGCTTGCAATGCAACATAGAACATGTTCCTCCTGCATGTTGCTTGAACTGCATGATTGCATGCGCATGTTGGCACGCGACTCCTGACTCATTCAGCTGGGGCCTAATTAAGAGGCGTGAGCTGGAGTTGTGGGGCGTTGGTGCAGGCCGGGAAGCAATTGCGAGGTTTGCCTTTGGCATTGGAGACCCGATCCAGGCAAGATGATGTGGTCAAAGCAAAAGTCTCCGCGCTTTGAAAAGGAGAAGCCTACGAACCCGGTCCTGAGCCAAGCGCGTGTCATCTTTGTAAAACAGCAGAGCCTGCTCGAACTTAGATTGGTCCTGGCTACTATGATCTTCCAAGCGTTCTGCACGAACAATCCGTCACCATCCCGGGATCTGACAGATTTCAGGACCTGGGCCACTTGTTTGGACTGCAATGTGTGTGCATGTGGTGTGCAACTCGCTGGTGTTGCTCGCCTTTTCCTAGCAGCTTCCCCCCTTGACTCCAGTTGGAGTTGCGCGGAGCCATGGCAGTGGTGATTCAGCGGTTCAAACCTAGGCAGGTGTGTTCATTTATTTAATGCGGTCGAGATTGGGATGAAGCTGTCGTTGCTGTTGCTTTTGTTGGTCTGAGCGCGTGTCGGCATTGGCTTGATTGGCGTTGGGTCACCTCACCTCGCTCACGCTCACTCACTCACTCATCGCTGGCTCGGTTCGATTTGGTTCAGTTGATTTGGTTAGATTTGTTGACTTGTTGGTTGCTTGGGGTCCCTGATGGTCTGAGAAAATTGCTTGGTTGGTTGGTTGGCTGGATGGTTCATGGATTGGTTGCTTGATTGATTGATTGATTGGTTGGTTGATTGAGTGATTGTTTGGTTGCTTGTTGGGTTGGTTGGTTGTTGTGACGGTGGTTGTTTTTGCATTGTTGACGTCGTCGTTGCCGCCACAGGCATCGCTGGTATCCTTTTGTAGCTTTTCGACGCAGTGCGCCTCGGAACTTTGCGGGGCTTCCCGAGGCCGCGGTTGGGGAAAAGGACTGTTTTGCCGTAGGGAGTGGTCGAGGGCCGTCGGTTGCGCTAGGCAGGCTTTCGAGAAGCAGGGGTCAGCGGGCTGCACTTGAACGATGATTTCTTGACAGAGGCCGAGGAGCTTGACATTTGCCGTGAAGTGACCAGAGTCTTCTCCCTGGCAAGATCGGCGTCGGCTCTGATTGCGAAGCCTGTGCGGTCTCAGTCACACAACTTGCCCTTTGATGAGCACTTCAAGCGAGTAAACGTACCTGCCATGCAGGGATGTGACCAAATGCTGGCCTGTGAGTACTTCGACAAATATGGGGACCAAGGGCACGAATTGATTTATTTTTCTCGCGGTCCTTTGGACTCTGTCCCTAACTTTGTCCAGTCTTTGGTTGTGGACCGCATTCGAGATATCCTGGCGTTGCTACCAGCAACATCTGAGAAAGGCAAGCTGGTCCACCCCAGCCCTGATGCATTCCGGGACAAGTGGCGGTTGACGTTGAATCACTATTCCAACAGTGGTGCTGCTGATCGCCCTGGCTTTCCATTCCACAAGGACATCAGGGCGAACGGTGACGTTACTATGATCTTGACGTTGGGATCCTCAGCAATCATGGAGCTCGCTCAAGATACTGAGCCACATGTGCCGACCGTATCCGTGAAACTGCATCCACGGTCCTTGCTGCTATTGTCCAACGAGGCTAGGTGGCGCTGGGTGCACTGTGTGCTGCCTGTCGCGAGCCCTGCTGAACGTTCCTCGCTGGTTTTAGGCTGGCGTGCGCCTCCACAGCCTGCCTGAGGGACGTGAAAAGGGGTGGCCGCATGCTGTGACAAACGGATAAGCTTTGGTGCATTTTGCTTGGATGTTAAGACTTTAACTTTTGCCAACTAATGGGCTTTCCATTAAACCACTAAAAGTTGAACTTTTAGCAGGGGAGCAGAAAGCAACCGAGTAAGGATGATGGGGTGCATTTTTGTTTTGTGGTCCTTTGTATGGTGGTTGGCCGGCAACATGCTCCGCAGGGCATTCTGAGGAGCACCTGTGGTTGGCGTTGGCTTGCAGATGTTGCGCATTCGGTGTTACAAACTATATATGGACGAGGATTCCGCTTTATTGCATTTGATTGGGTACTTGGTTGCTTGATTGATTGCTTTCCTTTTTTGCCTTCAATATGCATTGCATTAACACGCCTCTGTTTCAAAGTGTTCGAGTGTTTAGGTGTACATTGAAGGATGAGGGATTCGCTTCCCGGATGTTTGTATCCAACCGTAGGAGCAGCCAATGCCAGAGACGCCGGGCCCAGGAAGTTACGCACAGGCAGGGGTGTGAACCATGTCGTCGACTGTTCAGGAGATTTATCACTAGGCGACCTGGTTTGGCTTGCTTCTTGCGCGAATTCTGTCGACCTCATTCGAAACGCTTGGCAGGGAACCAAGGCTTCGAAAGCAAAGCAGTGCAAGGTGGCACGAGTCGCATGATTTGCGCGACTTGTTTGAGTCGCATGCAGATCATTTAGTTTTCCAGCATTGGGGTGGGCATCTCGCAGGAGAATCGGCCGCCTTCTCGCGACAGAAACTCAAAGCAAATCCAAAGCCCCAAGCAGGCACAGACCTTGGCATGCAAGCATTACTGCGAAGCACACATCGCAATAATCATCACACAATCTGTGTGTCCTGCAAGTGTACTACTGTGAGGTGAAAGGAGACTTTCTTCAAACCAAGCTCGAAGAGGAGGACGCTGCATTTTGCTCAGCGTTGCAGACATTCAAAGATCTTGTTCCGCCTGCGCCGAGCCATCAGGACACCCCTCCCAAAAGAGGTTTGCCTGCCCCGGGCCCCGCTCTCCCCCAACATTAAGGAGGACTTGTCGAGATGCCACCGTTGAGAATCTCGAGCACCCAGGGCTGGAAGGGGGCAGGATGAAACGGACGGGGCAAGAAGTCCGACCCCTTGGAATGACGCTCCAACTACATGCGCCCTGCTGAAACCCTGTGAGAATTGGATCTGCAAACCATAGATCTCTCCATTCTTCTGGATACCAAGACTTGAATGCCAGCAATGGCGGATTTGTTTGAACCGCTCGCACAATTCATTCTGCGGGTTGCATCCGGTGCTGGAAGTGTGTTTTTCTCTCTTTCTCTCTCTCTCTCTCGCTCTGTGTCTCTCTCTCAGTCTCTCTCTCTCTCTCTCTCTGGCTCTGTCTCTTGCAAACATCTCTGGAAACAATCCCCAATTCGGTGCACCCCCGATCTGCATGTCTATGAAGTTACGGCTCCGAGGTTCCTTGCCACTGGCATCCAGTCTTGTCAACAGGAGCATCTTCGCAGAGAAGCGGAAGGGCGCTTGTTGCAGCCGGCTGCTCAGCGTCGAACGCCGGCACGGAGCCTTGACGAATTGCAGGCTGACCGAGTCGGCGCGACAAACTGCGGCAGAGGCGTCCAATGGGTCTGATCCAGGATTTATTGATCCAGAGCACCAGATCATAGATGATTTCTTGATCCAGAAGGAGTTGTTGCGAGCCATATAATTGTGTTGCTATTTGGAAGGTGAGTCCAAAGGCACACCTGGCAGCATGAGAGAAGCAAAGAGTTGCATGTCAGTTTGGCCCCCGATTGGAGCTGCCAGACCCGCAGCCGAAACAACAGCAGGCCTCTTTAAACAACAGATTGTCCTGACATGCCCGCAGGTTGATCTATCCTTGAATCCCACTTCTTTTGGATCTAGATCGGGTTGTAACAGTGCAAGACGTTCCATTTTGTGGACTCCACATAGCTTCAACCTGGTTTCAGTCGGGCATTCTGAAATATACATTTGACCAAAAGAAGCTTAGATCAACTCCTTGCCTTTCGGAGGCGCGTTCTAGGGCCGCTGATTATTTGCCAATTTGTTGTTGTTGCGAACAAAGCCATGCTGTGAGCATTGGTTGTTTGGCAGAGGAGAGGCCCTAGAATGAGTCTTGTCAGAAAGGACAAGTCTCACCCTCCAGCATTCAGCACAAATGCTATTTGCCTGCAAAGCCCTCGCAGTACGCTCAACTCCGCGGGGAGCATTTTACGCTTGCGCAGACACAGGAGGGAGCGTTTTGTGCTTTCGGCCAGCCTCCATCGCCTTATCCATGAGGAGAAGAGCAAGATTGTCATTGCAGATCTTCAAGCAGCCCTGACTGCCATTGAAGAGAAGGCGTTTCGCGCGTAGATGTGTTGCTATTTGTGTGGCAGTTTGGTTTGCTTGAGCAGGTGCCCCAGCTGGAATCACAGCTAGTAGACGCCGAGGTCCCTTGTTTTGGCAAGTGTCTCCTTCATCCTTTCGCTGTTGACGAGGCTGCCCGTGCAGCGGCTGCACAGCACAAGCAAGAGGCGGAAAGCCTCCGAGCAGAGGCCTAGTTTACCGTTTCGGTTGTTGCGTCCAATGCTGGACGTGGCTTGGCACGCTGGCCACGTGTCCAGGTGCCAGCTTTGCGGAAGCAGCTGGAAGACTCAGAGGTGCACGCAGCATCACGCCCATTCTGAACTGAGCGGGCAAACTGGCTGGCCAGGCTGCGCATGCCGCCGCTGCCAAGCAGCATGCGGAAGAAGTGCAGAGGTTGCAGGGAGAGGTCTCCCAGGCAAGGCATAGGCACATCTCAGATATTTCAGTCATTTCTCTTGCATCTTGAAAGAGTTCAGAGACAACTACGTGATCTAAAATCCTTATGTTTGGTTTAGAATAATCACAGAACGGCCAGGTACCAGAGTTGAAAAAGCAATTGGCTGAAATGGAGGTGGGCATGCACTTGGGCCTGCACTTCACGGGAAGCCATAGGGAAATCGGCAACTCTATGAATTCGGGGCTTGGTCTGAGCTGGCGTCATGGCAGCTTCCTTTGCGGGCTGCATCTGGTGGCTCACACACACAGGCTATGCGACGGGCTGCTGCTGTGCAGCATGAATGTGCAGAAGAGCGGCTTCAGACGGAAGTGGCTCAGGCTTGAACACCATGTTTGTAACTTGCAAGTGGCTCGAGCCAGGTCTCCGAATTGCAGAAGCAGCTCCAAGAAGCCAAGGTGGGAGTTCAAGTCTCTCCATGAGACCTTTGTGTGACTCCAGGCCAGTACGGACGCCATCATGGCGGAGCAGGCCGAAGAGATTTCGACGCTCCAGGCGACCGCATCCAAGGCCAGAAATTGCGTACACAGATGGGCGATGCGCTTCTGAGATTCTGAGATTCTGAGATTCTAGAGGTGCCTGGACTGGAGAAGAATTTGTTTGACATCGAGGCACTGGCCCTGCAAAGTCGGGAGTTTGCATCGTTGCTCAAGTCTCGAGGCCGCCTTGGCAGCTGCTCGGGAGGAGAGCAGCCAAGTTGAGAGCCTTCAAGCAGAGGCGCCTTGCAGCCAGACATTTGGCCAGTGGTCAAAGACAATGGAATCCCATTTTGGGGTAGGTGCACCACCCATGTTGGTCTATTTTAGTGGTTGGATTGGGATGTTCACTGGGGGTTTATTGCACCTTGTGATATGGGCTGATGCAGCATCAGCACAATGATACATTATGTTAAGATGGCCAATGGAACTAGTGATGTACCATCGGCCTAAGTATGTATATGATACACTTCAGCAGCACAATGTATGCAGGCTACATTGTATTCTTCGTTGTTTATTTTGTATAGTCTTTCTAGTTTCTCGGTTTATGCCGTGGATCTCTTTATGACCAATATACGGTTGGTTTGGGTACGGGATTTTGAGCCATCGCCATTGGGCAGCCGCTGTCCAGGTGCCAGGTTTGCGGAAGCAGCTGGAAGACTCAGAGGTGCACGGAGCATCACGCAGCACGTTCTGAGCTGAGCGGGCAAACTGGCTGGCCAGGCTGCGCATGCCGCCGCTGCCAAGCAGCATGCGGAAGAAGTGCAGAGGTTGCAGGGCGAGGTCTCCCAGGCAAGGCATCGGCCTTCAATGGATTTGTTAAACTAGTGGACGCTTCACGTGTCAAATCAGTTCCTTTGCCATACAAAGGGCTACATGTTGCCCTTCGGGTAAGCTTCGCAGAATGTCAATTGAATCTCCTTGCGCCAGCATGTATGTGCATGACCAGGTGTCAGAACTACAGCAGCAGGTGAAAGACATGGAGGCCAAAGTGTTTGATTTATCTTGGAGTCTGAGAACAGCCTCGTTGGGGCTTCTCAGGCTGCATTGGAAGCTGCTGCAAAAGAGCAGGAGCAAGAGTCATGCAAATCTCGAGCAGAAGCTTCTCAGGCGCTGCCTGACGGTAAGGGGAATCTTTGGTTCGGCCATCCTTGTAGGGAGTTATTCTCCCACCAATTTACATGGAACCTGATTCCATCTCAACAATTTCGTTCGGTTTGTGTCACATCTTATGTCTCATCCGTTGGTTTCATAGATCTCAGGGTTTCACCAAAAGTCGGGATACCCTTAGTTGGTGTTTTGGATCGGTGGTTTGGGGATTTGAACCCTTTGTGTTTGTAGAGAGTAAATGGGAACCCCCACTTAACCACCAAACCAGCAATCCAAACCACCAAGGGGAGGGAAGCTGACAATAGACACTATTGGGGCTTTAGCAGATCGCCGGTTGCCTGTCAAGTGATTCACATCGATCTTTCGGAAGAGGTGCACGAGTTGACGAAGAGGCTCGCTGATCTCGAGGCCGGGTTGCCCTTGTAGGCACTTGGGCTGGATGAGATTGTCCTGGCAAGGCTGCAGGCCAAAAGGCAGCTGAGCGGCACGAGCAAGACCTGCAGAAGCTGCGTGAGGAGGCTGCTAGACACTTCTGCTTCAAACTGTCGTGTTAGATTGCGAAAATGGAGTCGCAGCTTTCAAGTTGGTGGTCACACGCGAAAAGGCACTAGGTTTCGTCGGCCGGCAAGCGGTTGTCGCTGCAGCTTGCTTGGAGGCCTCTTCCAGTGCCATTGAGCATGAAGGTGCCCTTGCATCGCTGCAAGCAGAGGTTTCGCAGGCAGGGCCACACTTGTTTTCCTTGAGATGCCACACCTCTGCAGGTGCCGCTGTTGAAGGAGCGTCTCGCAGAAGCGGAGGCTGGACAAACGCAACGAATGCGAAACGGTTTCGTTCCATTTACCCCAGGCTACCATCACCGTGCAGCGTCAAGCGGAGCTGCAGGCCCAGGCTGCAGAGGTCGGGAAATCAGGAGCTTGTCATTGTTCTCCGCGTGGACTTGTGTGACTTATCAACTTGGCGAGAGCAACTTGAGTTGATCTGCCAGGCGGAGTTGCACAAGAAGCTTGCAGACGCTGAGGCCTGTTTGCGCCATGCTCTCTGACACGTTTGGAAGGCCAAGAAGATCACATGGGGCGGGCGCATGTGTCCGGACCGTGAAAGCTGTGTTGAGCCATCGATGTCTATAGGCAAAGTGCCAGAGCGTTGAGTTGGAAGCCAATGAAACCGAGGCGGGGCTTGCCGAGTACTCGTGCCACTGTTACGGAGAAGGTTGCTTAGGACCATGTAGTGAGTGTGGTCGGCTGTGAATAGATTATTTCGATAGGATATGGTGCGATGATTGAGCAAGAAGTGTGCTAACGCTGCATGTCACTGTTCTTCCCGCCTCGGGTAGTTCAATGCAGTTTTGCGCGTTCTCAGCTGGCTGTGGCGAGTGCATCTTGTGATGCAACTGGCATTTTGCTAAACATAGGATGTTTTCATGTTTGTGTTACAAAGTAGCAAGCGTCAGTCAAGCTGTCGGATGCAGGTGACTCAGCTTCAGGACTGAAATCGTGGAACGTGTGTGTCTGTGTGATGCTGCACGTGGGCAAGGCCAGTCTTTCTTCAGGAACAGCTGGCTGCAGCTCGCGCAGAAAACTCTGCGTTAATGTCCGACAAGGCTGGTTACCTCAGCAAGCATAGCCAGTCATCGCCATGATTTGTTCTTGTCAGATTGTGTGATTTACCCTCCCACCAATGAACATGGAGCCTGACAGGGGGTCCCGTTAACACGAGAATGATCTTTCAGGACCCCCCCTGTCAGGTTCCATGTTAATTGGTGGGAGGGTACTTGATGGAAGACTTGTGCGCGAATATCGGCACGAGCATTGGGTTCAAGATGACCGGGTAGCTGCGAAGCCTTGGCCACGAGGTGCCAGCCTTCCGCCTTGACGGACATGCATGGCTGGCTAAGCGTGTGAGCTCAGGCCATGATCCGACCTGGCACTTCGCTCACAAAGCAGAAGCAAAAGCAGAGGGTGGGGGGGAACTTAGAGTTCGGTTTCGCGAATGTCCAGCTTTCCAGGCGCTGGCTCCAAAGGGTCCCTTGGGAAAGAAGGCTGAGGCCTGACAGCCTGAAGCCGGGGAATGGGGGGGGGGGGTTGGGTAGATTTCAATTGACCCCCCAAGCATTGGTCTCGGGGTGTTTTGCGATTCATGTTTCGGCAGCCATCAGAATGAAGTGACAACTGCCAAAAAAGACTCACAATCCTTCTTGTCAGGGGTCCGAGGCGATGCTATTGAATGTTGATGACACCAAGTTGGGCTTTCGGGTTTCGTTTTATGGCTGACAAAGTTCTCGGCAAAGAAAGACACAATGCACCCATGCACAGAAAAGGAAAGACGAGAGTATGGCTTCTTGTGTCTGTACAGATGCACTCGCCCCTCGAAGCTCAGATCAAGCTATGTGTTGGATAATTCAAGCGAGGAAGGGATATTGTTCAAAGGTGGATTTGAATAGTTTTTGGAGAAATAGAGCGGGGTCTATGTGATTTTTTTTGCATTGGCCAAGTTGAGAGATCTTTGTTCTTAATCCACCTCATATTTGGCAACCCCAACCCCCCACACGGCTGTTGCTCAGCTTCGCTCATGCTAGTTGGTATTTCCGGATTTCTTGGCCGAGCCTCATTTATGTCGGAAAAAGGAACGAAAGCCATATTGTGCAAGTACAGGGTGGGAACTTTCTACATGCATTCTGGGATTTCGATTGTGCAAATACAGGGGGGTTCTAAATATGAGGTCAACAGGTTGAAATCAAGCAGATTATCAAGTGTGCACGCAGCAGAATTGTGACTGTGCGCTTTTATTTCGGAGAGACGCAAGCAGATTGGGACTTGCAACAGCATTATAAGCTTGCAACGCTTTAGATCTGGGTTCAAATCAACATAAAACTACTGGGGGACCGCTGGTTCTAGTCCATGTTTCCGTTCAACAGGGTTACATTTTGGGTACCTATGTTTCACCCACACAGGCCATGGGTCAAAATCCCGGTTATCCCCCAGTGAACATCCCAATCCAACCACGAACATAGGTTCTAAAATGGGTGGTGAATTCACCTACCAACCAAAATGGGATCCCAAGACGGTTTTGACCCAGGGCCATATTTCTTTGAAGGATTCCGACTCCGATTCGTTGGACCAGCTGCGCAGGGCGCGCGGCCTTTGCTGGAAGACTTTCTCAATGGCTGCGACTTCGTAGGCACAGGGAGACACGGCAGTGGACCTGCATATTATGCCTGTGGCTCAAAAAAGCCGGTACCAAAATGGAACCCTGGTAAGTGGAAACAGGGACCAAAACCTGCGTAAGCCCTCCTGTTTAGTTTTGAGCCATGCCCATATTCCGCTTGACGAAAGGTGCCATTACCCTGCTGGAATTTGAGCGGAAGGCTCGAGAGGCGCGGGACTTTTTCGGGTTGTACCAAGTACTGGCAATGCAAAGCAGGACAGGCCGCACTTGCTGATGTGGCTGGCTTACAGCTATTTCCACAATGGCGATTACAAGAAGGCAATTGATGCCTACGACGACGCCATCAGAAAGGTGCGCAGACCTTCTTAAGGCAGGAGTGAAGTGCTTCAGTTGCCCAGGAGAATGATCCAAATATCTATGCCTACAAAGCGTGCTGCTACTATGCGCTTTGCCAGTACCAGGCTGTATGTGCGGATGGTGGTGCTGTGTAGAAAATACATTGCAATCTGGTGCTTTGTGCAGGAGGCAGAGGAGGAAGCGACCAAAGCTCCAGAGAGTCCCTTGAGGACAAGGCCGAGGTGGGAGCGAGGTGGTTCACCTCGCTCGATGGAGGACCCGTCTCCTCTTCCACACTGCGCACAAAAAGAACGATGAAGGTGCCATGATGAGCTACCATCAGGCAGGGCATGGTCGAATTCGCTTCTCTGAGAATTTATGAATGCTGAGGCTTTGTCAGAGTCCAAAGAAGACCAGCTTTGCCTTGCAGCTCTCCAGTACTTGAGGACATGCAGAAAGGGAATGGTCAAGCAAGGCTATGCTTCTCAAGCAAGGGGCTATGGACACTCGCTTACAAATCGTGAGGAGCCACTTCCAAGAAGCCACAGATATCTACAAGCGCTTGTTGGTCGAGGATGATGCCGCCAGTTTTGTGATGTCCGTGTTTGTAGCTTTATCTCTTTGCGTTTGCAGGAGAAAGAAGACTGGGCGCTGAATGTCATGCTGGCAACGTTCAGAGATCTCACGTTTCACATCACTTAACACGCAACAGCACGCTGGCCTTTGATGCGTGCGTGCGTGCGTGCGTGCGTGCGTGCGTGCGTGCGTGCGTGTGAGCGTGCGTGCGTGCGTGCGTGCGTGCGTGCGTGCGTGCGTGCGTGCGTGCGTGCGTGCGTGCGTGCGTGCGTGCGTGCGTGCGTGCGTGCGTGCGTGCGTGCGTGCGTGCGTGCGTGCGTGCGTGCGTGGGTGGGTGGGTGGGTGGGTGGGTGGGTGGGTGGGTGGGTGCGTGGGTGGGTGGGTGGGTGGGTGGGTGGGTGGGTGGGTGGGTGGTGGGTGGGTGGGTGGGTGGGTGTGTGTGTGTGTGTGTGTGTTTGTGTTTGTGTGTATGTGCGTGTCCGTGTGCACGTGTGTGTGTGTGTATATATGTGCGTGTCCGTGTGCATGTGTGTGTGTGTGTGTGTGTGTGTGTGTGTGTGTTTGTTTGTATGTCTATGTCTGTGTCTGTGTCTGTGTCTGTGTCTGTGTCTGTGTGTGTGTGTGCGTGCGTGTCTCTCGCTCTCTCTCTCTCTCTCTCTCTCTCCCCGATCTGTTTCTTTGTTTGTGTCTCTGTGTCTCTCTGTGTGTCTGTGTTAGTGTGTTAGTGTGTTTGCGTGTTTGTGCGCGTGTTTGCTACATGTGACAAGTTGATGTTATTGCGTGCGATGGGTGCATGCCAGGTGTACATTGCATTGTGCTATTACAAGCTGGACTACTATGATGTTGCTCTGGAGATCTTGCAGACGTGAGCTTTTGCAGTGGCGTGCACGTTTGCTGACAAAGCGTGTTAGCCAGCTCACGCAGGTATTTGAGCCAGTATCCTCAGTCCATTGTAGCAATGAACCTCAAGGCTTGGTTGAGACCTAGTGCTAGTCTAGCGTGCGTGAGTGGGTTTGAGATTTGAGAGGCGTGCAGCCACTATCAGCTGTACAATGGCAAAGCAGCCGAAGCGGAGTTGAAGGCTGCCAGTGCGTTGTGAGCTTTGCGTCAGCGATCTGACGCAGGCGCTCCAAAGCGCATCTGCCAGTGGCAATATTTTTCAGGATCTCTGGCACGAGCTTTCACTTCGCGCCACGTTTGAAACAATTCACTGCTGCATTCCAGGAGCATGACCTCCTGCAGCACAACCTTGTGGTTTTCAGGAACGGCGAGAATGCCAGCCAGGCAGCTTCAAACAGCATGCATGATCGCCAAAAGTCGAATTGGCAGGTGCTTCCCCAGTTGATCGACATTATTCCCGAGGCCCGATGCTTGCAAGCAGCCAGGGCAATACGTGTTTCTTTTGCGCGAGGCGAGGCTCAACCTCGTCATCTTCCACTTGCGGAAGGGCGAAGCTACTGAGGTCTTTGCCCCGTGAGAGGTGGTCATGAACGAATTGGGCTGTGGGTCAAAACCAATGGCACCATTTTGGGGGAGGTGCACCACCCATTTTAGAACCTATTTTAGCGGGGATCGGGATGTTCGCTGGGGGTACGGGCTTTTGACCCATGGCCAACTGATTGCAAGCTTTAGGCTTACAACCTCATCAAAGACTTGGAGCCTTCCATGCCAAGAGAGTGGGATCCCTGGCCCGTCTTGCAAAGCAGCATGCGTGCATAGGTGCAATGATACCACACGTGATCCACGCCAAGGTATATTCTGAAGGGGGTCGTGTTCGCGGCCCTGGGCCAGAAGACAGGCCGTACATGTATGGTGATCCGTTTGCGATGCATCATTCAACCATGTGCCTTTGTGCCTGCGTTTGTTCACATAATGATGGGAAAGAAATTCAGAGGGTTCACCTTGGATCACTCCAACACTTGCAAGGCTGAATGCAATTTACCGTCACGTTTAGAAACATGTTTCTTATTATCTCGCCCACGTTTTGGTCAGTCTCGATGCCTGATGTGGCTTAGATATCTAGATGCCCATTGGTGGAAGCCGCTCTTTTCAATGCACCATTGGGAGTTCCAGATATTACTGCAGGGTGTTGAAAGGAATGTGGCGGAGAAGCTTGTATGCCCGGCAACCCGGCAAGTCCAGTGCCCGGCAAGCAGATCTTCAACTGTTTGTTCTCACTTCCAATTTCTGCCCAACCTGGGTTGGGTTCATTGGACACGTGGGTGCGGGTTGTGGGCCATGCGATGGCTTGAAGTTTGGTGATGGTTGTGACCGGGAGGCTCCAAAGAGCATCTGAAGCTTGCACAGCAGCTCTTTCAACTGGTGGGGGTGCAGAGCTGAGTGCCCGTCGGTCGCCAGACTTGCCAGATGGCTCACGCTTTGCATCGATTCCATGGAAGTTTGTTGCACAGCCACAAATTTGTCAATAGTCTTCAGGCCAAGGCTCTGTGCCAGAAAAGGACTTAGATTTGCTATCCCCGATCATTTGCTAGCCGCTAAACTTGCCCTTTGCTGTGATCCAGCTGCCGTGGGGACTGGAGGCTTCTGCCTCGGAGTGCGACACAATCCCTGGCCGCCAGTCGCAAGCTGAAGCAAACACGGTTGCAAGCCAGCGGTTGACCGTTGCATCAGGTGCATGGCATCCTGCTTCTTTTTGCTGCGTCAATTTGACGATGTCTTGGTCTACTTGAAGTCCATCAAGCCTCAGCCTCGGTCGTGAGCTTGGGCTGGGAACTGCAAGCGCCTCAGGCAGTACTTTACCAACGACGATGACTTCAATTGGAACTACGGCCCTTCGGTCAAACGGCTCCGTTGAATCGACGACCCCCGGATTCCGAGGCGTAGCTTGCGCTGCTGCAGGAGATTACCAGGAGGCCAAAGAGGCGCCTTGAGATTCGTGCCGAGTTCAGAGGCTCACGCTTCGATCTGAGGCACTGCTGTCGGTCCAGGATGAGAAGAATAGATCGGAGTAGCTGCCCCACAACCAAACAAAGTCGGGTGAAAGTTCCGAAAAGCCGAGGTTTTGCTATTTGAGCTGGCTGTGCCGCTGCTACATCATGACAAACAAGCCGGGCCTGGCTTGGGAGGCACTGCGCTCGGCATGCCCCCTGCGGCCGTTGTGAAGTCAAAACGGCTTGTGATATTTCGGTTTTTGGCTGGTTGCATGTTGCTTTCGTATTCCGGGTCAGGCTTATGTCCGCATGGATACCAGCAACGAGTCCTTCAACTTGCTGCACTTGATCGCAAATGACTGCTACAAAATGGGGCAGTTCTACTATGCGTGCAAGGCCGGTGGCTGGGAATGTTCTAAATCTGCTGGATCTTTGTATTTTTGTTGCATGCTGCTTGGTTTTCTGTTTGCGAGGCATTTGACGTTCTGGAGAGGCTTGACCCAGACCCTGAGTTCTGGGAAGGCCCGGGAGTCGGGGCGGGTGCGAACCGCTGGGTCCATGGGGCGCATGACGTGCATCGAGCTGAGTGCCAGGCAAGCGAGGTGCTGCCGTGGGCGTCTTCCAGCGCGTCGTGGCCGGGAAGGAGTCTGCGGACAAGCTGCAGGAAGTGGTGAACCTGCTGCGGAGCTCCATGAACTCCCAGGCGGAGAGTCTCAGAGAGTCTCAGAGAGTCTGAGCGATTTAGTTTGTCACGGAGCTTTTCACGGCTGAAGTAGGTGGAGTACATGGTAAACAATGTCATGAAGAAGTGGGCGAAGGCAAGCTGGACCTTGTTCTGAGCAAACTGTATTGCGATCCGGCTCAGGAGAACCGAGTCAAGCTGGAATGATGTACAGAACCAGTAGTGCATGAATAAAGAGTTTCTGTAAATGCAAGAGTTGCAACTTGCGTTGCGCAGAATGTTTCCACTGGCCCCACAGCTGTGTTGGGCAGTCTGTGCCAGCTCCCTTCGAGAGGAATCACGAAGGATGTGCTGTCTCAGGCATTGTAGCTCTCCAAAATGCATCTGGAATTCAATGTTGCAAGGGCATCGGAAGTCCACAGCGCACTGAAGGTGCTTGTGCCTGTACAAAGACCAGGTGCCCAGAATCATCTCATAGACAGTGAGACTCTCTGCATCCAGCAGCGGCAGCCTTAAGTCCGATTTTTCCGGCCTGGAGTTGTTATCTCCTTTTCCCGCAGCTCCATAAGGGTGTGGCTGAAATTTCCACAGGTGGGGTTACGCAGGTTTTGGTCCATGTTTCCACTCCATTTTGGGTACCGGTTTTTTGAGCCACAGCTGAAGGCAAGATCAAAGCTACCTCAAAGCTGCCCGCACGCGCCAGGATCAACTGAAGAAGGACCTGGAGAAGCTAAAGCAAACGCCTCTGCGTTGGCGTTCCGCGCCCAAGAAAGCGCGCATTTGTGCTCCGAGGTTTGCCGAGATCAATGCGAATATGACGAAGAATGCCAAGGACCCGACAGCCTGTGACCAAAAAAAGTGTGGAGGCAGGCATGCGAGCAATGAGCTCCGGTTCTCAGTTAGCAACGCCGTTGATGCCGTTGACAGCGAGCAAAGATTGGTGGCCGACAGGAGCGCGCAGAAGCTCAAGTCCGAGACCTGAAAATGGATCTGGAACAGTGGCGCTCCAAGGCAACGAAGCGCTCGGCATGATGTTTGCTTCAAGACGCTTGCAGAAAGAAAGCGGTTTCTGCAGTTTGTCCAGGCTCAAAGCTTTGTCCGAGATGAAGACAAGATGAAGCGGCAAGAGGAGGCTGGCTGCGCCGCCTTCAAGAGGAAATAGGTTGGTTTTTTGCGCCAAGGATGTCGGCCGCCTTGAGCAGGAAGCCAAGGCAGGGCCTGGACGGAGCAAATGGACCTCTCTCCCAACCCAAGCGTGTTCTGCAAATGAACTAGTTGTATGAGCTTCTTGACTGTGCATGGATTTTATGCAGGATTTGCACCAGCAGAACGCGCAGCTTCTGGTGACCTTTCAGCAATTCAAGACAGCCCGAGCCACAGCCTGTCCTTTTTTGGCCAGTTCACAGCTAGCCCAGTAGGCCTGTGAATGCAAGGAGTGGGATTTGATGCGGGCTGAAAACCAGAGCCTGCAGGACAAGTTGCATAGAGCGTCCGCGTTGCGAAAGTCTGCCCGTCAGAGACGTCTATGAAATCGAATGAGGATGTAGGACTTGCCATCAATGAGGCAACATGCCACGCAGGAGACGCTTGCCACATACGAGATGAACCTGGACCGAGCAACTGACCACAATGCCCAGATGATGGGCCATGTGAATCCAAAGCCACAAACTCAGAATCCGGAGATGCTGCATGTCAGCTCAGCCCTTGTTGTTATGCATTTCTGTGCAGACTGTCCGCATTCCCAGAGTCAGTGAGCGGCTCGTGTGGCTCGAGTCAGCGGCTAGAGCCAGTGCACGGGAAGCGAAGCTGCGGGCGTTGGACACCATAATCTGTCATGAGCCGTTTTTCCCGGTGTAAGACGCCGGTCCAATACACACTGAAGTCTGCACATCGGCAACTGATTCTTCTAAAACGCGCAAGACTTGGTTGCAAGGCACTGTTGCGGAATCGTTCTGCCCACCAATTGCTGCAGACCAACATGAGTCTCAGGATCTTTTCTCAGCACCGTCGTGCCATGGCACAATTGAGTTGGCATCCAGATGGGGAGAATTCCTCCCGCGTCCAGCCTTCACCCAATGTGACCTGAGCACATGCTCGGCCTGGGCCTTGGAGCGGTGGAGCCGTTCTCGACGTGCCACGAGAACTCTGCAGGATCCCCACCCCCTTCAAAATGGAATTGGGGGAGGGGGGTGACCCTGGAGATTCATTTAGGGCTCCATTTTCCTTTTTGTGGGGAAGACTGAATAGTGGAATTGTGGGACCCCCCACCCCCTCCCCCTTAAGGTAGGGGGGATTCTGCAGGTTGGTCATCTGTGCAGCTGGGCGCAAAGGCCGGGAACACTACCCGCGTCTCAGCGAGCGTTCAACGGGGCAGTCCCAGCCGGAAATAGCCGCGGTCGCCCTTTGAATTTCCTTACATGGGTTTGGGCTTCCGACCATTTTACTAATCGGTTTTGATTGTGACTCATGTCAGGCCGCAGATGATCTCTGCGAGGCGAAACTCACTGTGGTCCTTCGGCCTGGTAGCCCTCACAATTCGATTGACGAGGCAGGAGACTTCCAGGAAGCAAATTGCAGAAGCGCTCGATGCAATGGCTTGATGGCGCTTATCTTTCCATGACCCTCATCAGGCATTTTGAGATCCTGTGCCAATCTGCAGCAGTTTGAGTTCAGGTGAACTCTGAAGTCATCTTTGTGAGTGTTGGAGAGAATGCCAAAAGGGGGCTGGCAGCTCAGAACCAAGTCAATGTGAATCACATTGTGCTGGACACCTGCTAAACATTACTTGTGGCAAGGCGAGCCAATAGCGAGTTGGTGGGATTTGTGCAGAACTTGCTTGGCCTCCAAGACGGGCAGGTGGCTTTGGCATGTGCAGCTTGGTGCCTGTGTTGGCACCTTTTTTTCCAAGTGAAGCCAAGGTCAGGCTTGAAGATACTGCGAGCAACAAGAGCCGGGCCCCAAGTTGAGAATAGAGCACAAGAGCTGCCGTGAAGCGAGGTAAGACAGTCATCCTATCCAACTTAGCCTTGGACAAGCGAAGTCTCATTTGGCAGCTTCAGTCGAAGGCGACCGTTTCCGGGCTTTCGGGCTTAGAGAAAGTGACCAAACCGCCTGTCTTGCACAGATGTGGCTGTGGGTCAAAACCAATGGGATCCCACTTTGTAGGTGCACCACCCATTTTAGAACCTATTTTAGTGGGGATTGGGATGTTCTCTGGGGGTGCGATTTGGATTTTGACCCATGGCCATGTCGACCTGAGAAGTTTGGAGGTTGGCCAGAGGCACGAAGCTCGCTTTGCTTCAGAGCAGGCCAATGCAGCGGGCGCCTCAGCGCAATTTCAGGCGATGCGAAGAGCGCACGCTCGGCTTCCCAAGGCGCTGCGCATGGCGGATGTCGCTGCAAAGCGGCGCAAGGCCCATCTGAAACGTGCTGCAAAAGACCAAACGCGGGCGCGCGCGCGCGAGCAGTTCGTTCGTTGGCTCAGGAGGAGCAGAGTGAGTATCGCAGACTGCAAGAGCAGGCGATGTGCGTTTATGCCATGGAAATGTTCAACAGCCAATGTGACCTGCGGGTTTCTTGCCCATTCACAGCAAATGGATGACTGACTCCGTTTGATTTGAGCGCTCTTGTAGGCAGATGCAGACGCAGTCTCTGCAGCTGCAGCCCTCCCTTCTCCATATGCTGAGAAGGCCTTGTGCTTGCATGTTTTGATGTGCTGTGTCAGAGACGGACGCGCGATGAGAGCTCTTGGTGGCGCGCAGCGATCCCCTTAGTTTTTTAGCTTTTTTAGGTTTAGTGGTGGTTTCCAATTAACCCCCGAAAGGTTAAGCTTTTAGCAGGGGATCTGAGGGCGCCCAGAGCCTTACCATTGCTACAGGTCGCTTTGCGGCCCACTTTGCCCCGGGGAATTCGCATCCGGCGGCCGGGCGAGCCCGAGTCGGACGTGGCGCCGGCGGAAGAGCCGGCGGAGCCGGAGGAGGCGGAGCCGGAGCCGGTGCCAGACGCTGCGCACGGCGAGACGCTAGGAGAGCGGCAAGAGATGGGTGTGGGTCAAAAATAGGCTGGTAAATGGAAACAAGGAGTAAAATCTGCGGTCCCTGGTGGTTTGATTTTGACCCGCACCCAGATGTAAATAGTAGATACTACTGAAACAACATGCTGCAGCTGGGAGGAGAGGCCACATCTGGACTCCAGGGCTTGGCGCACTACAGCAGCTCTGAAAGTGAGGACAGCGTTCGGAAAGAATCAAATGGGGTCAGACGTGGAAAAGATGTCAGGAGAGTGAGGAAAGCTGAGGCAGACCAAGAGTTGGAGTGCGCAAAAAGAGCGGCGCGGTAGCTCCTGGCATCTTCAGGAATGATTGCAGCCTCCATCGTCGCTGCTGTTGCTAAGGCAAAAGATACGTCACATGGTCAACTTGAAGGAGGTGCGCTCGGATTTCCAGCGCATATATTGTATTGTTGCATGGCGCGTGGTTCTTTGCCTACGAGGAAAACAAGGAGTTGCGCGAGCAGCTGAAGAAGGCCACTATGAGCTGTTGCCAACACAGGTCGTGTTAGTTACTGACCAAAAACACTACACAACTTTGTGCCGTGCTCCCAGGCAAAGCAGCGCATCACGCAGCTAGGAGCCGCTCGCTGAGCAAGCGCAAGCTCCGCGAGCAAGAGTTGGGCTCTTTGTGTGCCAGCCGCCAGCCAAGGTTTCGCGCAAGGGCGAAGGGCTGCTAGAAGCTCTCGCCTCCTTCTCGCATCGTGGGCTTGGTGCCCCGACACAAAAATATTAACTCCGCGTGGTTCGTGCTTTGCGCGTGAACCGCCCTGTTCAGACGCATGTTCTGAAAAGTCACAGCCCTTTCTGAACAGCCTTTCTTCCCCTTCCTGATTGATGCCTTGTGTTTGATTCTTCTTTTTTGCAGAAACAGAAACTAAGACAACTTCTGAGTTTACACCGCTTGCGCCATGAATTGCTTGCTTCGCCAGCTGAAGGTGCTGATCAGCTCTCCATCCCAGCGAGCGCTTGCCCAGACACTCCATGCCAGTCTGTTCAAGGCAATGCGGCATGTGGCTGTGGGTCAAAAATGCGTACCCAAAATGGAACCCTGGTAAATGGAACCAAAGACTAAAACATGCGGTCTCCTGGTGGTTCTATTTTGGCTCATACCCACGTTGCGCACCAACTGGGGGCATGGTGAGTTGGGCAGGAGAGTCTCGGACGCCGAAGCGTCCGTCAACGCCCAGCCGCAAAATGTCCCCGCGGAGGGGCAGCCCAGAGGAGTGGCAAACCTGGGACATGGGTCCAAACTAAGCCACCAGGATATGGACCGCAGGTTTTAGTCCTTGTTTCCATTTGCCAGGCCAACCCATTTTGGCTACCTTTTTTTTGACCCAGACCCATATGGCGGTTTCTTTTTCGGCAGGAGGAGTACCAAGTCTGGCTTGCCGATGAAGATCGGCGGCGGCAGTTGCAGGCAGGGCGTGCCTGCCTGCTTTCCTGTCGCGCCAGATTCTTCGCCAGGATAGGGCCGTGGAACGCGTGCAGACCGACTTTCAGCACTTCATCGCACTCATAGAGCGGGTGCGATCATCGGCGTGCTGAGAACATCGCAGCCCATGGGGCGTACTGTTCAGCATGCAAAAGTCCTTTTGATTTTTGCATGGGCCATTTGTGTGTTTTCTGTGCGGTGGTGTGTGGTGTCCATTCGCTATGCAAGAAGCAGACTTGCCAAGATGCAGGCTGTGCTGTCGGGTGAGATGTCCGGGGACTCGCCGAACCCAGCAGTCCGCACCTCATTGCATGGTAGGCGAATTCCAGAGTTTGCTTTTTCATCGCAGAGGCATTGCTGGAACGCCTTCGTTCAGTTGTCCACCCGGCCATGCAGGCCAAACAGGGTTCAATGAGCTGGAGTTGGCAGCTGCATGTTGACTTTTTGCACTTGCGTTGCACAGGGCGGGCGCGTTGCCTCCGGTACTCCTTGAAGATTCAGATGGTGACGGGGGAAGCGATTCGTTTGGACGTTTGCGAATCTCTGTGACATCGCATTTGCTTGTGCGTAATTCAGTGCCAATTAGAGCCGGGGCAGCTTCCATGCCTGATGGAAAAGTGATGGATGGTCTATTCGCAAAGTTCGAGCTTCAGTGTGCAGTGGCGCGCATTAGTTTGATTCAGAAATATTGAGAACTGCCTATCCCCCGCGGCGTGTGTGCGGTGTTCGCAGCGATCTCATCACTTAGCCGCATAGGTCTTTCGTACTGGTGCTTGCTATTCATCCATGGAGTCCCAAAGGCATAACACGAGGCTCTGACGGAAGGTCTTCGGCTGGCAAGGCGACTTGTTGGTTTTAATTTCTATGCCAGGTACGGCCTTTTTTCACTCCCAGCTCATGAGCAATCATTTTTGTTGGCTTCACGCACCGCGCTGGAAGTGGGGTCAGAGCAATTGCAATGCCTGTCTTGGGCGGCGCGCGCCCCGCGTTTCGCTTGGCTCTGCTTGCACTTGACCACTTTGCCTGTGGACTGGAGTAACTCAAATTCGACATTAGAGCAGCAGGATTCGCTTGAAACTCCTCACCAGTACCGTCTAGAGCTGCGTGCTTATTCCGGTATGATGCTTTCCAACTTCTGAGTGCCAATCTGGCACTCCAGGAGCCCTTTGGAGTTGCAGAACGTGACGAAAGTCAGTCTAGCTTAGGCCAAACGTTGGGGAAGGTACTGGTTGGCCGCGAAAGCAGTTGTGCTTAGCCGTAAAGTTAGGTAAGTTATCAAACAGTTATATACAGCAAGTTGCTGCTGCTTGACCTTGCTTTTTGTTGGAAGTTAAACCAATCACCCTAGTGCTGAATAAAGGTAGGACTGCATAGGCCATGGACGCCCGACCTGCATGGCTGAACCCAAATGAGCGACGTTCTAAAACCCCTGCACTTGAAAGTAGTATTCGGGAGGAAATATCGATTTCAAAATGTTGACTTTTTCCAGGTCGCGGAAGCGCCGCGCAAGGTTCGCGGAAGGGGTTTCTCATTTATGCCCTCGCGGAAGCTTCGCGGAAGGGCTACGATTCAAACACGAAAGCAAGAAATTGTAGTTTTCCTTCACGCGCGGAAGCGAAAACGAACTTCAATCCCATTTCTCAATCCGCGGAAGCGACGCGGAGGCGATTCCCTCTTCAAACCTCTTGCGGAAGGAACCTTTCGTGCCGCGCAAGCTCCGCGGAAGCCTTTGCGGAAGGGATTTGATATTTCTCTTGGGCCGCAACTGGGTTTAGAACACTGCTCAAATGTCGAAGACAGCGCGTGTTTTTGGACATTAGCATTTCGTGATGTACTCGTACAGCAAATATAATGACGTGGCATGCCCTCGCGCAAGTTGGCCCGCATCCGCATTACTTGAGGTTAGTCAAACAGTTCATTGCAGTTGGCCGGCAAGTTGAAAAGGCGAGCCGAACCACTAATCAAGTTCGGCCGGAAAGTTAGACGAATTTAGTTGTAACCATAGGTTCTGTTGGTGGTTGGCCGCAAAGTTAGGGAGGTCGGCCGACTATTTCGAGGTTGCACGAATAATTACTCGACGTTGATTGAGTCAAAAACATGTTAACGCGCCCTCGTTCCCTTCTTTCAGTGGCTCGTGGGGAACGCAGAACACTCGCCCGTGTGTGATGCATCAGCGTGGATCTAGCAACTGCGTCGGCGGGTGTTCAAAGCGGTTCTTGATCAAGAATGGGGATGTGCCTTTTTCTTCTAGCCGTTCAGGCTCCAGAATCTACAGAAGCAACATGTTGCAGATGAAACCTTGATTGGCCGTTTTACCCTTTTCCATCAGATGATATGTTGCATCGTTCGCTTGCAGAACCAGAACAGCATATCCATCTCGCGTGGATATCATGAGAGCATTGTCTAGCCCGGCCACGAGCACCGCGATGTTGCTCGCCGCCTTTTTCCTGGCTGGCATAGCTGACGCCTCTTTCTACGAACCGCACTTGCCTGCAGCAAGCCCGTGGTTTGAAGGATGGTACACACGAGTCAGTGAGACGACTTCTGGGCACTCCATCGGGTTCATCCTGGGACACTACCCTGACCAGAACTTGGTAAACAGAACTTATGTGGCCCTAATTGTGGACGACGGCAAGGCGGAGCCACTGGTCGTTGAGGCTAGGCCGCCGTCCTTCAAGGTCTCCAAGAATGGAGCACCAATCCGTGGCGACCCGGATCAGGACTCCCAGCCTGATTTCGAGGTGCTCGGCGATGGCTTCGCCATGACACAGAGAGGCGACCAGCAAAGGGTGACCCTGGACTTTCCAAACGGAGTGCACTTTGAGGCCAATCTTTCTGGACGTGTCCCATGGGGTCCTCGAGGCGAGAGCCCTGAGGGTTGGGCCGGGCACTTGCCCATCCCGCTGCATTGGTTCGTCTACTCCCTGGCCTCCAGGGCCACATTTCGCCTCGCCATGCCCGGGCTCAACATCTCCGGGCAGGGCAAAGGGCACCAGGAGAAGAACTGGGGCCAGAGCTTTCCTTCCACCTGGATTTGGGCGGAAGGACTTCAAGGCCCGAAAGCGGACAGCGGCCGATGATCTTGGTTTGGGTACGGGTCAAAATTAAAGCACCGGGAATTGGACCACAGGTTTGAGTCCTTGGTTCCATTTGCCAGGGCAACCCATTTAGGGGTTACCCCATTTTTGACCACCACAGCCATTTGACGCCCATTTCGTTCGCCGTCCACGGTGTCTGGTTTTGGGTTGGCGTGGTGTGAGGCGAGAACAAGATTGCGGTGGCCGGCGGATCGGTTCCATTGGGCCCGGTGACTGTGCCCAACGCCTACCTCATCGGGCTTTGGACGAAGAAGCTGCAGCTTGGAAGCCGTTGGTGAAGGGTGACATGCAGAGCGTTCCCGTTTTTGCTGCTAGAACTCATGCATCAAGGATAGCCCATGCTTTGGGAAGCTGGCCACGGGCAGATCATGCTGAGCTGGTGCCAGTAAACTGACTGCCTTTGAAGTGCTATACATGCTGCATCGACGTTGTTTGGGGGGGGCAGCAGCTTGAGTGCATTTGGTATCTCATGGTTTATACATTCTTTGGAAGCGCAACAAATGCTGTTGAACTACTTTCTGCAACATCGATCAAATGCTGTTGTATGGTCGTGACGTTCAAAGCCAGCACATGCAGCTCGTGCGTGCGTGCGTGCGTGCGTGCGTGCGTGCGTGCGTGTGCGTGTGCGTGTGCGTGTGCCTGTGTGTGTGTGTGTGTGTTAAAGGGCATGGCCTACGCAAGTCAAATTTGCTCGTGTGTTTGTGTGTGTGGGCAGTGTTTTTTGTCTTCTTCTTCTTCTTCTTCCCAGGGATGAAAGCCCACATTTGCGTAGCGACATGTTTTTACAGGTTTGACGGCTTTGGAAGCCCTGCATGTCCAACAAGTACGCCGCTTGTCAAATTCAAGAAAGTCTTGCCAGAACTCGCATTTTGCATCGCGAAGGCATTTCGTAGACATGGCGTCCAAGCTCCAAGGGGGGGGGGTGTTCGGAGGAGGTTCAGGGCGCGTCCTTCCTTTGTAGACCTCGCTTCTGGAGCTGAAGCTGCCAAAGTCTACTTTGAGTGGGGTAAAAAGTAGCAATTTTTGAGCTGGAGCTGGCGTGGGGGGCAATCGCGCTTGGCTTGGCATGAGTAACTCATTTCTGTACGCATCGTTCCCTGCTTTTCTGTGCACCGTGGCCCACGCAATCCCGCCAAGTGAAAGGAAGCGCGTGCCGTGGCGCGCTGCCAAGGACATGGACCTTTCACCCGCAGGACCCCAGCGTGTTCTGGGCCTCCGTCGACGCCTGCAAGGGGCTGGTGGTGCTGACGGCCAGGAGTGCGAATCGCAAGCTCCGGATCACGCTGGAGGCTGGCGGGCGCACATGCTGCATGTTGCAGATCAAACCACGCACAGCCAATGCCAAGCGACATAGTTACTTCACTCGATGCTCGGTGCTTGAGTCTGGGGTTGTCAAGAACGTCAGTGACTGACCCCCTCCCCAAGCAGCAATTGCGCAGGCTCCTCCAATTGGCTCTGGAATGTTTCCAGTGGGAGGTCCCACGAGGACAGGTTTCCAAATCGATTCGGTGGAGAATTACAGGGGCAAGATTACCGTGGAGGCATACTCTGGGCTTCTCCATGACCGGCTGGAAGAGAGACTGGAAATCGCAAATGCGGCGATCGAGTTTGGAGGAGACGCCAGGTGCAAGCAGACAAAAGAAGCGACCGAAGTGCCCGTGGTTCAGGCAGAGGCCACGCTTGCAGCGGCTGGCCCAGCGGACACTGCCATACCGGAGAAGAGAATCCGCCGGGAGCTTCGCGCGCTCTCCGAAGAAGAGCGCGAGCGTGTGTTCGCAGCGATGAATGTGATGAAGCAAACCTCAAGTCTGAAAGGTCAGAAGATGTTTGGGCCTCAGTTCATCTCCTATGACGATCTGGTGGCTCAGCATTTGAAGGCAGCAGCAACCAAGGGATGTGACGAGGCGCAGCTTGGGATGTCAAGCCAAAGCCATTCAATCTGGTCCCCGAATTTCTCATCGGCCTACAGCTCCTTGCTTGTCACACGCTTTTTTTCTCAAGCCCGGTCTCAGGTTGGACGTGCTTCGCGTCAGTCTCCCTATGCAAAACGAACCTGCCGACATTCCTTTCCTTTTGAAGTTGGTGTTGGCTGCAACGTCAGTCGCCGACGCTTTGCAATCTGTCAATCCATCGAAAGCCGTTTGGTGCAAGCTTTATGTTTCAGTGTTCTGCGAGCAGCTCATTCGGCTAATAGAGGGGCGCAGACGCTCGTCAGCTGGCTTCCGCCGGAAAGCGCTGCGGCGGAAGTCTTAAACCCTTTTGCGGCTAGCAACCGTCTCCGGCACAGCTGCTTCTTCCTTAATCGTCTACGGGGGCTTACTGCATAGAATGAGGCTGCGCAAACATGTCAACATTTGGCTACAGACTTGTAGAACGCAGATGCCGCAGATGCCTGCTTCTGCTTAGATTGGGTTTGCTAAATTGTTGTTCGTGCGACTCAATGACGGCATGCCTGAAGCTTCTTGTGGTGCAGCGAAGTATGTAGAGGTAGAGCGCTCGCTACACTGACACGCATTCTGGCGGCCTTGGATCTTTATACGGCATTTCAGCCTGACGACCACTCGGCAGCCCTTCATAACAGCAACACTCTCGAACATTCCAAGTCGTATTTTGTTGAACCTCGCGATGTGTGCCCAACACACTTCTCACAGATAGTTTGAGACGCTCTTGGTTGGTCCCCCATGATTCCGTGATTGGCATGCCACATCTCATTCTGCTGGGCTTTGCTTCTCAGGCGCACCTGGGGCAAGCGTTTGCCACCTACCACCGCGCCTTCGTGCTGCGCTTCGAGGAGTCCTTGCTGGCCGTGGACCCTAAGATCCTGGCGCTGCCTTACTGGGACTACAACATCGAGGCGAGGCGAAAGGACCCGCGGGACAGCGAGATCTGGCGCTGGTTCGGCAGCAGCGAAGGGGACCCCTCGGAGGGCCACGCGGTCAAGGACGGCCGCTTTGCGCACTGGCGAGTGCGAGCCGACGCGCATGAGGTCGCCAATCTCAGCAACCCCTTCAACTTGTTGCGGAGCCCTTGGAATGTCAACCCTTCTCCACACATCACCCGCAGCCGATACTCCTGCGGCTCGCAGACGCAATTTGACGCCAGACTCTGGGACCTGTGCTTGCGGGCGGCCAGCTTTGACGAGTGGTATGCTTGCATCGATCCGACCATTCACACCTGGGCGCACAGCTTCTTGGGAGGCGTGTGGCACACGGAGCGCAACGTGAGCCGTGTGGAGTGCTTCCTGACCAACGCCATCGGCATCCCTTCCGCGTATTCGAAAGGCTGCTTGCGGTGCAGCTCCAACTGCACCGACCCCGCGCAGGCCCAAAAGTCATGCTCCTGCGAAAGGTCGCGTGAGCTGCGATGCCTGGCAGACAGCTTCTTGGCGCGTCAGGCGCCAACATATGGAGACTTTGCAGATGCATGGACGTCTCCCAACGACCCCATCTTCTTTTTCCATCATGCCAATGTGGACCGGCACTTGATGATGTGGCAGCAACAGCACAGGGAGAAGGCTCCGCACTATAGTTTCCCTTCATTGTCAATACCCTGCCAGGGTCATGGCTTACATGATGTGGTTGGTGCTTCTGCGCCATTCAGCGGTTCTTTGCTTGGCTTGGCAAGCAACTACACGCTGACAAATGCTGACCTCATAGCAATCGATGGCTCGCGTGGCCCTTACACTTATGATTCTCTCAGTCGAACCTTGCTTCGGGTACAGCGCCCCAGTGCTCTTGACTGGCCTTCGCTTCGCGCGCTACTTCTTGGAGGCGTGTGCTTTGGCACTTGCATTCTGGTTTTTGGCTTTCACGTCTTTCACCCATTAAAGGTGCGTCGAGCACCGCTGGCACTGCCAAGCAGTTAGCATGCTGGTCAGACCAGCTTGCCAGAAGGCGCTGCCAACATGGCCGCGTTTCGAGCTTTTGGCTTTCGCGGCAGCACGCTTGGTGCGTTTTTCGCTAGCAGCCTTCTGTGCTTCTCGAGAAATATCGACTGGGAGTGCCTGCAGGTTCGGACTTTGCACAGGTGCGATGGCATCACTCACTGTAAGACGCCGGGGGAGCGGAAACAACAAAAGTCACCCTTTGGGGAAGGGTGTCCCGCTCGGACGCATGTTAACAGGCGCCCCCTCCTTCAAGCCCCTGCTAGGCAAGAGAGGAAATTAACGACACAAGCACAGCCAAGATCAGGAGCTACAGTTCGCTCGCATCCTTTGCCAGGCCTGTCATGGCAGCAGGGTCTTGATTGATGCCAGAACAACTTTCGGCCACCGCGAACAAGTTCGGCCCAGATGGAGCCATGCGATTCCCAATGCTCCATACGGCAGCCAAAGCAATATGATGTACCGTCAATATTACTTCTGTTGAGTTGAGTATTTGGTGTTTCATTGGTATTGTGAAAATGCACAAAACCACGGCAAACGACAGAGGACTCAAAAAAAGCGATACCCCCGGAAAAGGATGGAAACGCTGGAAAACGATAGGAGTAAGTAAGTTCGCGACAAAACACACACCGACTGTTCCAACCTACAAGAATCGATGCGAGTCTCGGCTCCGCACGGAAAAAGGCGAAAGCGACGAATTCAAAGCCTGGCGTATCTCTTAAAGATCGGCAAGAAATCGCCACCTTGCTAGAAATACAGTAGGTGCGACAAAAACGGAACCGCTTTGAGCCTGCACAGATTTGGGGCAGACTTGTTTAAAGTGCCAGGTTTTGATTGCAGTCGGTAGTCGTGGGCATGGTGTGAGCGCGCGCGTGTGTGTGTGTGCTGAAAATGTGGAAAAGCCATTTCAGAGTCGATGCAGTTGAATGTGCAAAATCACGCATACGTCTCCATCGCTGCTAGCCATTTGGCTTGCAGGGAGTGCCGGAGGGGCCAGCATCGTGGCAGGAGTTGTTTGTCTCTGGTGGCCGGCGCTCTCCTCACCATGGCTCTCTGCAAGCCTTTCCTCTTGGGCATGGCCAGCGTCCTCAAGAAGAATCTTGGGCAGGCGATCATCCCCGCGGTACTGCGGACGACCCCCTGGCTGATTTGGATCTTGTTTGCTGGCACCGTCGCCTTCTCGATTTCCGTCTCTGCCCTTGATGTGGTGTGGAAGGTGGGCGCGACGGGGGATGGACGCAACGGCTGGTTAATCCAAACATGAAACCAGCACACAAGACTTGTTGTCCAGGGCTCCATCCTGGCCGGCGCCATCCTGGCCGTGGTCGCTTGCATCCTCACCAAAGTCTGCTGCGCGCCCTTGGGAGAGGCTCGGTGGGTGTTCGGCTGGGCATGGTCAGCCGAGCTGAGTTTGCTTTGTTGATCGGCTACATGGCTGCAGCTGCCAAAATGTTGGACGAGGAGACGTTCCTGATTTGGGTTCTGGTAGGTTTGTCCAGTTTGACAGGGTTTTGTTCGCAGCATGAGATGCTAGTCAGAAAGGATTGGCTCTAAACAACCCATAATAAAGCTGATTTGATCCATTTGGGGGGTAATGCCAATGTGTTTCTTGATGTGGATAGTTGTTTTCCTTGTTCTGGAAATATCAGCATCGACAGATACAGCCACGAGCCCGGATGCTGTGTGAAACCACGCAATGTTGCGGGCGACGCGTCAGGTATCTGAAACTAATATAGCCTGACTCAGTCATGTGTTTGGGCAAAGTGAAATGCAATATGCAAGTTTTTAGACTGTTGCGGTCATGATCAGGATGCCGTACAAAGCAAACGAATCTAAACAAATCTGACACGTTTGAAACGTCTGAATTCAGATGCGTGTCCGACAATTTAGGTAAATAACAATTACAGTTTTCAGATTGTCTGAAAAGTCAGAACAAATCAGATTCGTGTCTGAAGTTTCAAGTCTTAAAGCACCAATACATGCGTTAGATGTTGAGATCTAAACTCAGATGTGCGTCTAAAACATCAAGTAAACAACCAACACAATATTCAGTTTGTTCAGTTCTTGCAAATCTGAAGAATCTGAAAGTTTTGGAAAAGAACCGATACATGTGTTCCAGCTGAACATTCAAGTACAGAACCAGCATGTTTCAGAATTGTTCAGGCCTGCAAGAATACGAAAAAAGACGGCACTCAGAGGTGTGCCTGAAAATCTAAGTATAGGACGATACATGTTCAGTTATTTTTTCTTTCTCAGATACTTTCAGATCTGAACAATCTGAATTTTGGGCACGGGTTCCAAACATAATCATATGTTAACATGTCCGAAAACAATCCAACAATTCTCAATAGTATCAAATTCAAAGAAGTGTGCGGGCTCTACACGTTCAGATTGATTTGCAGGATTGCCTGAGGTCACACTAGATTTTAGACATGTCCATCGGTTTGAGTTTGGAAAGGAAAGATTTAGAGTTGCCAGGGCACGTGTGAGACAATTTGGCGTTGATGAACTTCCAGATTAAGGTTCTTATTACGGCACTAAAGTGCCACAGTTATATTTGTTCCTCTTTGCCCCATGTTTGTACTGTATCGGAAGAGACGCTTACAACCGAAACTGATGAGGCTGGCACGCGGTCAAGCTGAGCCAAATCATTTGGGTCCGGTCTCAGCCAAAAATGCGCAGCCCACCATGGTTGACAAGTAAACTACTAGGCCCGTCAATTGTGGAGCTAAGAAAGACCGAGCAACATAGAAAAGGACAAAGAAGACATATCCAGAAGATGTATATGAGGATATATCTAAACCCTAAGCACCTCCTGCCAAGTCCTCCCTAACTATTTGCAACCTGTGCGCAACTGGACTTGCACGAGTATGTCCGCCAGTAGCGCGCAAAGTGGGTCTTTCGCTGCTTTGACTCGAGGTGCGAACGCGGCATTTAAGTGCGAAAGCAGTCCGCGACGTACGTGCTTGCAGCGTTTGCACGAAAATCGTTGTTGTAAGAGCGAGAGCGGCGCGCGAAGTATCTTTGCGCAGTCTAGCGCAAGGCGCAGTTATGCAGGGTATCTTTCCGCGGGTACAACGCCTGCGATGCAACAAGAGTATCAATCGCTGAACGTGCATGCAGCAACCTGGCATGAACGACACGCAGCCCAAGCAAGAAGTTCAAAAGATGCTCAGCGCCGCAACCAAGGTTGGGCCAACCCACTGTTTTCCCATACTGAAGCGTGTTTTCCTAAATGTGTCAATGTTGGTTTCGTTTTGAGGGAGGCCGATGGAATGTTTAAGCACATGTTGCTTGTTGGGGGCTGTCTTTTTTAGAGGGTACACTTGTTTGTTGGTTTCCCAGGGACAAAAGGGAGCACCATTTTGAGGGGCCGCCTGAAACAGCACACACTCATTTCTGAGCAAACCCCCAAATCCTGAGCCAACTGCGCAGGCTCAAAGCCAGGACGCCGCGCCTCGGCAACCGAACAGTTGGGCGCCCAAAAAACGGGGCGCAGGCCGTGCGCGGGATTTCCGGGGAAGGTGCGATCCTGGTGCCCAAGTCCGTTTTTCGGTTCACCGTGGGACTTTGTCCGGTTTCATTTCTGCAGCTCAGCGGGCCATTTTGCAAAAGGATTGCCCAGCGTGCCCAAGGGCGGCTCCACCAAATCCAAAACGGCCAAAAGAACACATTTAGGGTACCCTCCAGAAACCCCACACCCTGACAAGCTTAAGCTTCTGCCTTAAGGCTCGGAGCTGGCTGTGTTTTCCAGATTCCCACAGGAGGAGCTTCTTTGTGGATTGGGGGGGGCTTGAGATAGGTTGCCTCTCGTATTGTTTCTGGGCCAGGCGCGGTTGGCGGAGGCGCGAGAGTGAGGGATGCCATCCGATGCCCCACTGGTGCAAGGATGGGCTTGTGTACCCTTGCTTCATTGGTCCAGCCAAAAGGGGGAGTTTGAAGAAGGTGTCAATTATTGTCTGAAGTTCGGTTCAAAGGTGTGCAGTTCAGGTTGAGCCCTCAAAGAAGACACGCTGAAGCCACCATAGCCTCTTGTTCAGAGAACTCGGGACTGTGTCCCCGATGGCGTGTTGGCCGTATCAAAAAATACGCACATCATTGGACGAGGCCTTGCGAGTTTATGGTTGGCGGCATCCCCACCCTCGACATTTTTTTTTGCTTGGAATTTGCGCGCAAGTGTTGGCTTGAGTGTCATGTTCGTCCCTGTCGTAAATCGGATCGTTTGGTTGCAGGGTTGAGCTTGGAAACCAGTCAAAATCAGAGGACATCACTCTGGCCCCACAGTCCCGCGTTTACGGGGACGCAGGGTAAACGCTGTACATTGGAATTCGTGGCAGGCTCACTTTGGGCATGTTTGATGCTTCGTCGAAATGCCCGGCAGACGCAACAAACTGGATGGTTTGATTGATTGCTTGTTTGTTTGCTTGCTTGCTTGCTTGTTTTGTTTTGTTTTGTTTTGTTTTGTTTTGCTTGTTTGTGTTGTTTGGTTGATTGGTTGGTTGTTTCGTTGGTCAATCGCTTGATTGGTTGGTTGACTGACTGATTGACTGATTGATTGATGGATTGATTGATTGCGCCGAGAAAAGGAACCACGGTTCTGGCTTCGCGTGTAACGATACGGTTCCATGACCAGATTCTGCAAAGAAACGCCAGGCAGCGAATTTTAATGCGTTGTCGTGTTTGGCAGTGATCCCTTCCCCCTGTTTACGGCAGCTTTTCCCGCTCGTGGACGCCTGCGGACGCTTGCGAAAACAAGCGCTGAAGCATCTGACAAACGCACGCTGACCCCCCAGCGCCCCTTTTGGAACGAGAACTCTTTTGCTACGCGCTCGCGCTCGGGAAGAACATCTACATACATCTACAGAATCTACAGTACTTGTCGCAGCGCGCTTCATTTGTCAGTCGGCTGTTTGACGCCATCCCAAGAGTATACGAGCATTATGTCACAGTGAAACAAGTTGCGTTCCTGTCATAGGCTTCTGCGGCGCTAGCCGCTGGGGAAGCCTTCTGGAAGGAGCAGATGCGGCGTCGGGCGCTCAATGCCTAAATCACAGGGTGTTGGTGGCAAGGCATGTGTGATAGGCATAGTCGCTATGCCATTGAGTTTTGCAGGCATGAGTGGCGTTCTGTTCTGGAAGAGCAGTTGTCAAGGAGCTGGTTCCATTGCCTTCGCCCATCAAATTACTGCGACCAATCGGTGTGTGTGTGTGTGTGTGCGTTAATCTCGTCAACATGACTCTTGAGATGAAGTGTGGCGGACAGATCTTGAACAAGCATGAGCTTCCAGTGGTCGCGTCACAGTCGATGTGATTGATTTTTGGTCTGGACACTTCAAGTTTCCAGATTTGGCAAAGGATGATGATGCAGAGTGTTAGCTCCTCTGCAGTTGATAGGTGCTTGATAGGGTTTGTCAGCTTGTAGACGCTCTTCAAATTCATTTCCGGTATTGGCGAGGGCGCGGGGATTCATGGGGCTCTAGTCTGAAGCCGCCAGGCCTGAAGCTGGGGGCTCGCGCAGAGTCCCCACGCCCCGGACACTGGATTGCCGGATGGGGCCTTCCAGAACGGCGTGGCCGCGAGTGCCCCGGCTAAAGCCCGAGATCACAGAGCCGAAATTTGAGCATCGAGGTCCGAGGATGTCCCGAGAATCGTCCGAGAGTCGAGGTCCAATCCGAGATTAAAAAAGACAAGCTCCCAAAATCGAGATCCGAGAGGCGCGAGACCTGAGAAGCGAGAATCGGAGTCCAAGACCCGAGATCCGAGAGTTTAGATACGAGAGTCCACGTTGGGGAATGGAAATTGGACATCGAAGAATAGAGACTCGAGAGTCGAGACCATCCAAGACCTGAGAATCGAGAACCAAGATCAAAAGAAGCCGATGTCGGAGAGACTTGAGATCCGAATTTGAGACCGAAGGCACGAGAATGATATCAGATCCGAGAATCGAGAGCCAAGAGTCAAGATCCCGAGATCCCAGAGTCAAGAATCGAGAGTCGAGAATTGAGATCCGCAAGTAGACAATCGGGGTCCGAGAATCGCGGCCGAGAATGGAGAGTGCTGATCTGAGAGTCGAGATGTGAGAATGGAGGGCCGAGAATCGAGGTCCGATACTTCCAAGAGTCGAGATCTGGAAGTCGAGAATCGAGATCCGAGAAGAGAGAGTCGAGACCCGAGATTAGGACACGCTTTTGCAGAATGATAAGTGCGCCCATGCACGAGAACCGGCCCAGCGCTGTATCTCCTACACCTGACTCGCTCAAGACAATCCGCTCAGCGCTGCGTCCACGCCTGCCAAATGGTACGCTTGCCCGCTCAACTTGCCCAGCGCTGAAACCACGCCTGCCAAATGAGAAGTGCGCAGCGCTGCGCTCAAGATAGCACTCCCAGCACTGCGCTCAAGAGCAACGCGCGATCGCTTGAAAGCACACGCGCACCATAGCCTCGCCTGCTGATTGACAGGCGCCAGCTCAAGAACGCTCGCACTGCGTCCCACTCTTGCCAAAAGATGAGCGCGCCCGCTCAAGAGAACCCGCTTTGCGCCAAATCGTAAGCGCGCCTGCATGAGAGACCTGCCAATGGCAGTATGAGCGCCTACCCAATGATAGGCGCACCCGCCAAGAGCACCCGCTCAGATCCGCTCAAGAGCGCAGTGCCCACTCAAGAGCACTTGCTCAGCGCTGAGCGGTCTCCACGCTTGCCAAGACAACAAGCGCGCTCGCTCAGCGCTGTGTCCACACCTGCCAGTGACAACCGTGCCCGCTCAAGAGCTGGCTGATACGCGAGCCCACTCAAGGGCGCTCAAGAGGACCTGCTTAGAGCAGAGTCGTGTGAGAATCCCGACCCGAGATCCACATTTAGTGGACTATCGCGAGACCGGAGAGTCGAGATCCGAACCGACGAGATGTAGATTTGAGAATCGAGACCATGGGATCCAAGGCTTGAGAATCGAGATCAGGCAGTCAAGGTCCGATTCTTCAGAATCCAGAGTCGAGATCCAAGACGGAGATCCCAGTATCAGGATCAGAGAATCGAGGAATCCTGGAGGTTGTCCCGGGCGCCTTCGATCTTGACTATTTAAAGATGGGAAAGACTTTTAAAGCTCACGCCAGGAATCAGCCGCTCCGCTGGCAGCTGCCACCGAAACCGGGTCCGCTGCTGCTTCCCAGCAGTGAGCCGGAGCCTGCCAGCGATGCGCCGGACGCCTGACTGCATTGTCAGAATTTACCCACAGGGCAGGGCCGCCCGCCAGGGCCCTTCCTGACGAAAAATCTTGGGGAGCGGCCTTGCGAATTCCGTGCCGTTTTTTTTCTCTTTTGATTTCCATGAATTTCAATCCTGAGGTCCTGCTGGGGCGAAAGCCCAAGGTGACTTGGTAGAACAGGGTTTGGGGTGTGTTTCGGAGTCCATGCCATTTGGACATTGGTGCGACTATGAGCGACTCAGGCCCAGTGCGCCACTATAAATTGATTTGTTGATGTCAGGCCGGATCCAATGACACTCACCCCTGGCTTCCAATTACAATGCTTTAGGCAACACTTGGTGAGAAAAGAAGCGCCTCCTCACCCGAGAACTTCGTGCCGATTTGTTTGCACGGGCGCCATTCGCTGGCTCCGGATCGTATTCCAAGGGCCCACAGCGCTTGCCTCGCACGCCGCGCCGCACTGCCGCGACGCAGGCGACTCGCCGTTTTTGAAGCCCCAGAAACCACTTCCCATTGTTGAAGAGAGGGTGGACGTAAAGGACCAACTACTGAGCCAAATGGAGGAGTAGTTGAAGTGTCTCTGATACACTTCAGCGCTATCTACCACTCAAGGAGGACAGGAAGAAAGTGGCAAACTCTGAATACTTTTTGTCCAGTGGATTTTACCCCTATTAGCCCAAAAAGGGTGATGTGTGTTTTCTACCAGGGTCACTGTGCAACCGACTCATGTCATTTGACTGAAGCAGACGCCCCAGCAATTCTTTGCTGCCTAGCGATACTAAAAGAGAACAATGACAGACCTTAGTCTATCAAATGCCAGTCTGTCAGGATTTGATCTATTGACATTACTTGTGCTTGAGAGTGTGGAATGTATTTGCCCCTGTTGTTGATTGGTCATGGCAAGAAACTGCACAGCCACAAAACGCGACTGACGATTCGCTTTGAAACACAACCTGCTTGAGTTGCTGGACATGTGGGAGGGAGGATTTGGATCCGGGAATTCGGGAATTCCATTGGTGCCAATTCGTCCTTTTTGGGCAGTTTACCCTCCCGCCGGGCCCCCTTTCCAAGAGGACAGCAGTCTTCCAAAAGCTGCCTGTGCACCACCAAACCCATCTTTGTTGGGAGGGTTGACCATAGAACTCAGCAACCCTCAATTCCAATTGATCGACGCAATGTGTCACGCCTTCAATCGCACCAGGAGGAAGCGTGCCCGGGCACAGACTCCTTGGATGCTTGGCATCTTCTCCCCGCTCCGCTTGTTTCCCCCCAAGCACCACAAACCAGGGGGACGGAATGGGGGGGGTTTGGGGGCTGCTTGAATCCTATGAAATGAGAGCACCTGGAAAAACAAACACCATGTTGAAAGTCATGCTGCTCGGCCTACGCAAGAACTTTTGCAGCAAGTTGAGAAGCCCTGCTTCGTTTGCATGATGGCATGCTGTGCTTCAATGAGAAAACAAGTTCTTCAGTTTCTTGGTTCGTGTGCATTGCTTTATGGATCTTCTGCGGAAAAGTCTGGGTCTGCGAGCCTTGGTTCGCCTGAGGAGGTGATCGGTAGCAAGATGGCGGCGAGCATGCCGGAGGCTTCCTGTAGCAAGTTTCTTTGGAAGTTGCCTTCCAACGGCCCAGCCCGGATGTGATTTTCGAGTTGGGAGTTATTCTAGATTGAACTGGACCCCCGTTGTTCTGGTAATTTCATATTTCCAAGCCTCCTTTGGTCCAGTGTTCGCTCCCACTGAAATCAAAAGGGAGGGGTGCCCCGTTTACGTTGGTGAGTTTTTCTCCTGCTTTCTCAGATGCGTGTTCCCCTTGTGGGCACCCTTTTGCGTATGCCGAACGCTTCCACCGAATGGCGTGTGATTTCCAGTTTGAACACCATAGATTCCGCAGGTGCCTCTAAGAAAGACTCACCTCGGGATGAAAGCCCCTGCAAACTCTGTGCACATCATGGAACGAACATTCAGGCGGCCAGAAGTGAGCAAGCATTCGGGCCTCCGGAAATCACATTGGGGCTGGAGTGCTTGGTCCTCGCGGATGGTCAGGCGCTGAGCGGCCTTGGCTTCGGTTATCAGGCGAGCCTGCTGGGTGCGCAGATTTTGGCCTAGCTCATATCCAAGCCCTTGATTTAACCTCCCAATCCGAAACAGAACAGTAAAGGCCTTCTTGAATCGGTATGTTTGTGAGTATGTTTTCATTTTGGCTCTACACTTCTTTGCTATGAGCCTGACAATGTGAGCAATATTGTGTTTGCTCCGTTTTCTACTTTGCTGATTTTGCTTAACCGCATCACTTTTGAATGTCCGTACTTCTTTGAGTTCGATATGCATGTACTATTTACATCATCGTAACATCCACGTCTACCCTAAGAAGCCATCCACCCTTCCAATAGTCATTTGACATCAGATGACATCAGCTCGTGAAGTTTCGTGAAGTTTCACTTCATTATAATTCTGACTTCTTCCCGCTTGGAAGTCTTTGTACGGTTCAACATGCTTATTATTGATGATTTCACTGCAGTCGTTTTGTGCATGTTTGGCCTGTTTGGCCTCGGTTTGGCCTCGGTTTCCAACTGTTGTTTTGTGCATAGTCCCCATAGTCTCGTTCTGCTTCGGCATTAACATCATCCTTGCAATACTCAATCTTAAACAAAAAGCAAAAAACACACAACTCAGCATCAAGTCTTGTTTTTGTGTAGTCCACAAAGTGGATGTTTGATTTGACGCTGTATTTCAGGTTGATAAATATTTTGAGTTCAAACAATGCTATTCTCCGTATTCCTTTTGTTGTTGCCGTGCTGTATCGTGTACATGGCAGATAAATCCAACTCAACAAAATAGTATTGATTAAATGAAAGCCCAACAAATTAATAAATTAGCCAGTTGTTATTGTCTATGACTTTCGCGACGATCCTAAATTTGCCAGACAGTAAATTGTTGCGCGGACTGGCGACGAGAGGAAGACCCAATGCAGTTAATTGTGATTTAAGCGTGAAATAAAACACGTATTGGCCCCTATCACTTGAGTTCAAGCCGTTCGTACAATATATTCAAGTTCAATAACGTTTTTGAATCAGTGAGTTTCATTGAAGAAAATCCGCCATTGTTGATAGAGTGCAAGCAGTGAAATATGTATATATGTATACTACCACCTTACAGCTTCTCTTTTGTGTGTGAACTGAGTCCGAAGGATAATATGATGTTTGATGTGAGATTTCAGCTTTCTTTTAGGTGCAAATGCTTTACATTGAATACACACCTGAATTATTATGTTACATGAAGTTAAACATGGGCGCAAAAACAAATGCTATCAAATGCTGTAAGCCCCCGCTTGCTCTAGTGACCGATCAATCGTATTGCGGATCTAGAATCTGGGCGTTCGGTTCGGGTGCCAACCACAGCTGAAAGCTCAATTGCTTGAAGCGGACATTTACTTGGACCGGCGTGCGCATGTTCCGCACATTCCGTTGCGTTCCTTCCTATGGCATTCAGTTTCCGGAAACGGCCGCACCGACGATCGGCGTGAGTTTCTACCATGGCTTGAGCTTTGCCAGGTCCTCCGGTGCCCCCGTGGAGGACCTGGGAGGGGACGGGCGCGACGGAAGGTCTGCGCGCAAAGCCACAGGCGCAAATTGCACAAACAAAAACGCGCAGGCAAGAAGCACAAGACTGCCCCGGCTCCAAATTGAGAGCGTAGTGTTCGGATTGTCCGAAGCTACTGATTTCTGAATGGTTTGTTCTTTCACCTTTTGGTGTCCCTTAATTTGTGGGCATTTTGAATGGTTCCTAGAATGTCAACCTTCTATTTTCGAGGCATTCGAGGAGCTTAGCCAGCCGAGATGTGGTCTTAGCCCATATTTGGCGGGCTAGTCATGTCACACCAGTAATTGACATTTAAACCTCCCACCAACCCTGTATCAAAGGTGGATGGCAATCCGTTTAGGTTCATAGCGCGGCCCGGCCAAGTGTTTGCAGAACCCTGCGGGTACCTGAGGAAGACCTGGGCCCTGGTTTTGAGAGCCCAGAGCAAATCAGGGCCCTTGGAATGATACATCATTTTGCTGGTTTCCGCAAGCCTGGCGTTTGCCTTTGGCGGATATGCAGTCTGCAGAGTTGGCGTGGTGGTCTTGGATGCTGTTGGCTGAGTCGGCTGGGTGAAGTAATGTGTATCTTGTTGTTGAAAATAATGTCTGCATTGCGGTTTGGCATTTAGTGGCACACAGACATTGGCTGCATGCTTTGAGCAATCGCTATGTTGAATTAGAACTATTTGTGGTTATTTCTTGTTTGTTTGCATGTTTGTTGGTTGTTGTGTTTATTTCTTTGTTTGTTTGGTTTGTTCGTTTTTTTGTTGTCTCTTTGCCTGCCTGCCTGCCTGCCTGTCTGTCTGTCTGTCTGTCTGTCTGTCTGTCTGTCTGTCTGTCTGTCTGTCTGTCTGTCTGTCTGTCTGTCTGTCTGTCTGTTTGTTTGTTTGTTTGTTTGTTTGTTTGTTTGTTTGTGTGTGTGTGTGTTTATTGAATTGTTTGTTTTGTTTGCGTGTTTGTGTACGTATGAAACACATGTCGTGACCGCATGACCTTTCATCCGAAGGGCAATGGGAATTCTGTGACTGACCGAGTCTAACAGTCTCACAAAGCTGTCACTGCTGCGCTTGGCCAGCGCAGCTTGCTGTGAAGTCGCAGTGTCATTTTCCGATGAGATTCACAAGCTTCTGCTTACCAGCAACAATGTTAAATGTGATGTCAATGTGTTGTTCTTAGATTGATGTTAATGCTGACGCAATCTGCACTCGTTCGATCCCTTTACCCCTGACAAGTGCATGTGCAAACAGTTTCCAGGATCTTCCTTGTGTGAAAAGAGGCTTGTGATAACCTGAAACAAGGTGGGCCAACATATCGTGCCCAAAGTAAGTGCAGAGTGTACTGACTGACTATTTACGCCAAGCAGAACCTTCCCTTGGACTCTGTATTAAACACAGGGTTTATTTTTGGTTCCCCAAGAGGGGGCAAGCCTCATTTTGCCACACTCCCAATTTGCATCTGAAGGCGGATATCAGCAATCTCACCGCGAGGACCTATGAAGTCAATTGAGTCCCTGATGTCACGCTGATTCATGAAGTTCATGAGACCACTAGATTCCAGATTTAATCTAAGTTGGCCAGGACTGTATAATCTAGTCTAGTTGATTTCAGTTCAATGGAAGTAGTATGTATTCTCCAGATTCGCTGCGCAAACGACGTGGTGACGCAGTTGACGTCAGAAGTTTGCTAGCAGCTGAGCCAGGTGTTGGGAGCCATGAAGACCGGACAGGGATCCCGAGCCAACAGCAGCAAAGCGGTTGAAATGGGGACATGTGGGTAGCCCAGCGGTGCCCGTGTACGTTTGCTTTTTTGGAGGCGAGGGTTCCCCAACGGACATCGCAGACATTTGGTATGAATTCTTTATCAACGAATCTATTGTTGTTGGTGCAAGAGTCAAGCCGTTCAAGCCTATATTTGGGGATCCGGCATCAGCCACGCACAGGGATCAGAGTCTTGACATCCTTTCGCACAAACACCAATAGGCGACATGACTTTGAAAATGCTAAAGCACCACGGGGTTTTGACCCGCCCAACGTGCGCGAAGAACCACAAGCGTGTGATGCTCCACCCCAAGAGAGTCCTTAAAGGGTTTTGCAAAGCAGGCACGGCCGTGCCGGCTTCTACTCCCCAGTTCTCGCTCTTTCTACGTGCAGTGCATAAATATATTCTCAATCTTAGTTTCAGTGCTACAATAGTTAGTGCATCGGCCGTAAAAGGTGATCACCTGTCCGGGCCTTCCAAGTTCCCTTGAACCTTTGGGTTGCATAGGGTTCCTGTGAGCCTTTCGGGAGTCTGGAGAATCCCCTCTTTCCCCGCAACTGACTCTGCTCCAAAAAGGCGATTGAAATAGCCAAGATTCTTGAATTACTAGGTCTAGGGTTCCCCTTTTCTTCTGGGTATAGCAACCTCCGCAAAAGCCCCAGGAGAAGATCCCGCTAGTGGATGCCTCGCAGCTGACGCTCGGCGCAGGGCTTCGCTTCGGTGCTGGCATTGTCTTGTTCCAAATCCGAATGCGTAAGCACGGATCGTCACGGAAGACGGCCATTTCAAGTAGGGGCAAACCACTTGATGCCGATTTCAATCCCATCTAGAAACAGGTTGCATGCCAATTGTTGCGGGGAGGTAGTTTGATTTCAACCAGTTGGAGTTGGAGGAGAAAAGTCGTTCGAACATGTTTGCACAAAACACCCTCTTAGTAGGGAATGCCGGAAACTCTTGAAAAAGAAAAATGCACTTCATGAGGGGTTTACGATCTCACACATGATGTGTGTGTTTTCCCTTTGTGAGGGGATCCTTTTCCAGCTTCTAAACCTAACAAGGCAAGAACAGAGGGTTGTTATTTTGTTTTCTGGTTCCCCCATGTAGCAGCTGCTGTTGATCCAAGTGCTCACCAATTCTGAATGAAGGTGTGCCATTTTGAGTGGGGGTCTATTTTTCGAGAAGGTCCCTTTGACACATGTGGAGTGCATCTACATTGGCGATGGCAAAATGAAAGTTCTACCGCTGAATGCTACTTTCCAACCCCGCTGAAGGCGTCCCTTGTCCAAAAGGTTTGGATCGCGTGGCTCATCAGCCTCGAATTCCCGAGATCCAGGGTGCGAGGCAACTCAACTCGGGTGCTCTCTCTAAGATCAGCCTGCGCGAAAAGGAACCGTTTGAACCGGGTTTGCTCAGGCATGTGCCAAGAGTCGCAGCTTGCTGTTGTTATACGGGCTTCCTCTGGAGCCGGGATCGGAGTTCTGGTGGGGGAGGGCTTGTGGAAGACATGCACGCAATTCAGCGCGGAAGCTGACACGGGATGTTGATGAGCAGAAAATGCACAAAGAGGGACATTGTTCCGCATTGAAAAGCAGAGTTTCTTGGGTCGTTTCCCTTCAAGATACCTTGGGGATGATCAGGTTGGCTTCGATCAAGGCCCTAAAAAGGCTTTAATGAACGGGTCAAAGGGCGATCATGGAACCTGTTCTTAGAACCCAAGTGTAAACGAATGTAAACGAATTTGTGAAGGGGTCGTATTGGGCGCTCCGATGGCTTATGTTGTGGACTGCACGGGAAGGCAGTAGCAAGTACGGCAGGTTATAGGAGGTGGAAGGCACACGAAAGGAGTGACTTTGTGAGGCCAAGAACCACAAGGTGTCCTTTGATCCTTCCGCACAGGCTGGGGGAGGGGAAGCAACGGGCAACGCGACGCAGCATGACGAAGCAAGCTGTGATGGATGCGTGCAAGTGAATGATTGGCGGGGGGGCGGGGGGGTTGCAATGGTTTGTTTGAATGAGGGCAAATGGAAGTGCAAATGAGTACGGCGTTCACTCAGCTTGCTTGCATGCATCCCACTGCACAAAGAGCACAGAAGGCGCTGACGAGTCGCAGGCAGCAGAGTCAATCGCTGAGAGTCTGTGCACAAGTCTGCATGTGATGTCGTTGTTATGTTTACGTGGCAACTTCCAATATGTGTTTGCTCTGGCAAGACCTATTGCGAGGTAACTCCCGTGTTACCCTGCTGGCAGGCTATACAGCGCAAGGGGGCTGGATTTTTCACCGAGAAGGATTTGGCAGACTTGGAGAAGGATGGCTCAGACAGCCCAGCCGTCCATGGAACGGAGGCGCGACAGAGCGACAGGAGCATAAAGCAGACCGAAACTGATAGCTCAGATGATGGCTTCCGTTGTGGACGGCACGGGAAGGTGGTAGTTGTAAGTACGGCAGTAGGTTATGGAAGGAGGCAGAAGGCACATGGAAGGAGTGACCCACGAGAGCTATCATGGCGAGAAATCCTTGAAGCGTTCCGGACAAGGGTGGTGATTCCAGAGTTGAGCTGCATTGTGAGGCCAAGAATGACCACAAGGTGTCCTTTGTTCCTTCCGCACAGGCTGGGAAGGGGAGGGGGGGGAGACAGCCACGGGCAACGCGACGCAGCATGACGAAGCAAGCTGTGATTGATGCGTGCGAGTGAATGATTGGCAGGGGGGGCGTTGCAATGGTTTGTTTGAATGAGGGCAAATGGAAGTGCAAATGAGTACGTCGTTCACTCAGTTTGCTTGCATGCATCCCACTGCACAAAGAGCAAAGAAGGCGCTGACGAGCCGCAGGCAGCAGAGTCAATCGCTGAGAGTTTGTGCACAAGTCTGCATGTGATGTCGTTGTTATGTTTACGTGGCAACTTCCAATATGTGTTTGCTTTGGCAAGATCTATTGCGAGGTAACTCCCGCGTTACCCTGCTGGCAGGCTATACAGCGCAAGGGGGCTGGATTTTTCACCGAGAAGGATTTGGCAGACTTGGAGAATGATGGCTCGGACAGCCCAGCCGTCCATGGAACGGAGGCGCGACAGAGCGACAGGAGCATAAAGCAGACTGAAACTGATAGCTCAGATGATGGCTTCCGTTGTGGACGGCACGGGAAGGCGGTAGTTGCAAGTACGGCAGTAGGTTATGGAAGGAGGTAGAAGGCACATGGAAGGAGTGACCCACGAGAGCCATCATGGCGGGAAATCCTTGCTTGAAGCGTTTCGGACAAGGGTGGTGATTCCAGAGTTGAGCTGCATTGTGAGGCCAAGAATGACCACAAGGTGTCCTTTGATCCTTCCGCACAGGCGGGGAAGCGAACATTCAGGCGGCCAGAAGCGAGAAATCATTCGGGCCTCCGGAAATCACATTGGGGCTGGGGTGCTTGGTCCTCGCGGATGGTCAGGCGCTGGGCGGCCTTGGCTTCGGTTATCAGGCGAGCCTGCTGGGTGCGCAGATCTTGGCCTAGCTCATATTTCCAAGCCCGCCCAACAGCATTTATCAATCCGACGCCAAAACCCACAAACACATATAACGCTTTAAGCTGTTCATTTTTCAAGAGCACCTGATTCCAGAACAAATTTAAATGTCCTTAACCTTATCTTTTTTCTAAATGTCCAACGCAGTGTCTTATTCTTTAGTTTCGCCTTCCAATCCCAAACAGAACAGTAAAGGCCTTGTTGAATTTGTATGTTTGTGAGTATATGTTCATTTTGGCTCTACGCTTGTTTGTATGACTTTCTGCACATGTGCCTATGAGCCTGACAATTTGAGCAGTATTGTTTTTGTTGGCTCTGTTTTCTATTGTGCTTATCTTTTTCATTTCCGTACATCTATTTCATACATTTACTATTTACATCAGCCTGAATAACATTTATCGTTTCTATTTCCGTCTGCCAGAAGAAGCAATCCACCCTTCCAGTAGTCATTACGCCCGAGCTCGTGAGGTTTCGCGACCAAGGTGTTTAGTTTGCTCGGGGCCAAGCTCACTAATCACAAATCAAATTGCTCGGTATTTCGTACAGTTCTTCCAGCTTATCTTATCTGCAAGTTTCACTCCATTATTTTTCTGACTTCTTCCCGCTAAGAAGTCTTTGTGCGGTTTCAGTATGTGTATTATTGATATTGTCACCGCAGTCCCTTTACACAATGGTCTGGGCCTCGGTTTTAAACTTTAATATTTGTGCATAGTCACCATGGTTTCTCGGTAGTTAACATCATCCTTACAATGCTCAATGTGAAAAACAATCATAACTCGGCATCAAGTCGTTCTTTGTTTTCGTTTTCCAATAGTCCAGCTTGTAGATTGTTCATTACGCCGTATTTCAAGTTAAATAAGATTATAAGTTCAATGGCTTTTAACCATGCTAGTCTCCTTCTTCCTTTTGTTGTTGCTTTGTCCTGTTGTATACATGGCAGATAAATCCAACACTCAGCGACCAATTATTGATTATGAACGCCAAACAAAGGAAGCAATCGCAGCCAGTTATTATTGTCTACGACTTTGCCGGCGACCCTACATTTGCCAGACGCAGTAAACTGTTACGCGCGGACGGCCCAATGCAGTTAGTTTGTGTTGAAGCGTTAAAGAAAACACGTATTAGCACCTATCACTCTAGGTTGAATTTAAATCGTTCGTAAAATGTATTCAAGTTCAACAACGTTATTGAGTCAGTGAGCTTCATTGAAAATCCGCCGTTGTTGATAACGTGCAAGCTGCGAATTATGTACAGTACCACCATACAGCTTCTCTTCTGCGAACTGAGTCCGAAAGATAATATGATGTTTTATGTGAGATTTGATCAAACGCTTTACATTGAATACACACCTAAATTATTATGTTACATTAAGTCAATCATGGGCGCAAAAGAACCAAGAGCCAAAGATATAAAATTGTAGATGCAGGGCAAAACAAATGCTAGATGCGTATACATAGGTGCGCCCTTGCTTGCTCTAGTGACCCCGAGCAAGATCAATCATATTGCCGGTCTAGAATCTGGGCTTTCGGTTGGGGTGCCAATCATGGCTGAAGCTGAGTTACTTGAAGCTTTGATCACGCCTGGCGGACATTGGAGCCAAATTTTCCTAGTGGATACGTATTAGCGCGTGCTAATACAGCACAATCCTTTGGGCAATCAGTTTGTAGCTCTTTCAGTGGCAGGTTCCCGAAACAGCCCACCTTGCCGACGAGCGTTTCTTTCGTGCCCACATGGCGTGCGGAGTTTCTACTAGGCTTGGCTTGAGCTCTGCCAGGTCCTCCGGTGCCTGCCCTGTGGAGGACCTGGGACGGGCGCGGCGGAAGGGGCGGGAAAACGTGTTTGCCAGTCTTTGCTCAGCTCTTCGTACAGCACGTATAGTCTCAATCAAAGCACGGTGAATAGTTTCAGTGCTACGGAGTTTCGTGTTAAACTTCCTCTGAGAATATTCAGGGCATCCGCCGCAACAAGAGGTGATCGTTTTCCCGGGCCTTCCAAGTTCGTGGAAGTCCAAGCTGGGAAACAGGAGACCTTGCTGTCAATTCCTTAGGGTTCCTGCGCTTGTTTTGCGGAAGGATATTTTTTTATCCCCTTGCCAAAAGCATGCCTTGCTGCCACCGCGATGATGATAAAAAAAAGGAAAAGAAAAAAACAACATGTCAATTCTAGGTTTACTGTAGGGTTGCCCTTTTCTTAGCTTGGTAGGTACAGGTACAGCCATATTTGAGGGACTCCCATCCCAGATTCGCACTTATCCAGCCCCCAAAGAAACAGCCGAGTCTTGTTGTGCGTGTGAAAGTGCCAGGATAGATGCCTTGTTGCACCTGACGCTCGGCTCACGCAGGGGTTCAGTTCGCTGCAGCCCATGTTTTCACATTGTTCTTAGCAGAAATACACGAAGCTCGGGCAATTCATATCTACTTCTTGTGGGGTTGCGATCTCACACACAAGGTGGTTTCCCCTCGAGAGTCATATGGTTCACCCCCCGTCATCCTTTATCAACCAGATTCAACCAGTATATAGTGGGTTCTTTGTGGAATGTCGAGGTTGCTTGCCATATTCCCTCAGCAAGTTAAGCCACTTGTGTTTTGTTTTGTCGCATTTCGGAAGGTGCATGTTGGAGGCAACCAGCCTTGAGCTGCGGCAACTGTGGAAAAACACACGCCAGACGCCACATTGGTGGGTGGTTTCTCCCAGACTTCATACGGTTTCATCCACCCCTGCAGGCTTTTGTCCACAGTACCTGCCCGTAGGCGTCCTGATTTTGGGGGCTCTTTGGTACCTTGCAGTGGAACTCTGCCAGATTTTGTAAGCACGTTGCCCTTCCTCACTTCCCTGATTGGTCCGAACGACTCCACTAAGGCCTTTGAGGGCTGCTGGGAAGACTAAGGGTGATTTGCACGCCAAAAAGCAACGCCACTTTTTGATGTGGGGTTGCCCGGCTCAACCCCGCCAAATGGGGGCTGGCTGGTTGGTTGGTTGGTGTGTTTGGTTGGCGGGCCGCATCCCCAGCGTCCCCGGTTGCTTGTCAGGGTTGCTCGCGCTTAACCGGCGGCATCCCCCGCATTGCTGGCCTCGCTCGGAGTAGGGCTGCTGATTGGCTTTGGTTTGATGGCAGTTCAGAGCTGCTTGCTGAGGTCTTCATGAGGGCGGGTGTTGGGTTGGTTGGGGTTCATTTAGGCTCAGCAAAGGGCTGATATGCAGGATGCGGTTGGGAGGGTTTAAGGTTGACTTTGGTTCAGTGTTGGCTTGGGGCTGATTCGTGCTAGGTGAGCTGGTTGAGCCGTGGCTTTCGGGTGGCAGGGCGTGGTGCGTGGTTATACAATGCCCCGAGCTCTGAACTGCCACCAAATCAAAGCCAACTAGCAGCCGTCGTCCGAGGGAGGCGAGTAATGCTGGGGATGCGGCCGGCACGTCACGCCCAATCCGCAGCCCTGACATGCAACCGGTAGTAATAAGCTGGGGCTAGCAGAAAAAAGCACGTCAACCGTTGCCCCATTGTTACGGGGACAAACCCGTTTGGGGAAAACCAGAACACCATGGTTCTCCTTGCGTTCCTTGGAGTTTTCTTGCGTTCCTTGGGCCTGATCCTGAGGCATGACACTTTGAACCGGAAGGACCATATCAGGCTGGGGCTTGGGCGTTTATGACTAGGATTGAGGCCTAAAGAGAAGTTAAGAAGCAATAGTGAGGATGGAAGAACCTGAAAAGGCACAATACACTTCACGTAGTTGAAACAAATACTTCCTAGTCAACTGAACTCAGTTTGTTTGTATGTATAGATACATGTATATAAATGTTCAACTTAAACCATGTTTCTCAACTAGTGACTCTTATTGAAGAAGATCTGCCATTCTCAATGAAGAGCAACTGCTAACTGTATCATACTGCCGTGGATGGTGCGCCTTACAGATTGTGCTATGTTATTTTGATTTCCAAGGATGCTAACAATGTGTTTTACGTTTTTATTTAATCAATTTACCTTTAACAATATATATATACACACATTCATATGTATGTCATATTTATGTCAAACATGGGCACGGCATGCACAAACTGCACGCAATATAGCATAGTTGTAGGGCAGATCAAATGCTATATAGGTAAGCCCCCGTTTGCTCTAGTAACCCTGAAAAGATCAATGGTGCTGCCGATCTACAACCTGGGCGTTTGGTTGGGGTGCCATCCATAGCTGAATGTTTAGATAATTGAAGTTTTGACCACGACTGGCCGGATACCCTCCCTGGAATTAAGCAGGAAGTCCGTGCCCTCAGAGGTCCTTGTAACATGGAAGTTCCTCGACCGTGCTTTGCTTGGGAAATGCCTGTCATTTGTTTACTGGGAATGTACGACCACCCCTTAACAGAGAAGTTACTTCCTCGCCACGACAATCCCGGGACCAGGAACCCTGGATTGTTGAGGGAACCTGTTTTGAGCCCACTTCCATGTAAAAGACAAATGTGAGTGAAAGCGCAGCTTCCTGAAAATAGGCCCTGCACTTCTATGTAAAGGAGAACACGTGTGCAGTCTCACAAAAGTGTACATGTGGTCGTAAGGTTTGCCCTACAATATTTGGGATTCCCAGAATTTGACCGTGATAGCTATTGTTTTCCCGGGGTTCTATAATAGGGAAACTCTGACTATGCTGCAAGCAATTTCACGGATCCTTGAGAAAAGTCGTGAACCGGCATTTCCCTGGTGGGCTTAAAATTGCTACGTGTTTGCCCGAATGCACAAAATTTCAGTTTCCGAGTCAATCTCACCCCCAAATGCTACGTCGTACGTTGTACCTAGCTGAGGGCAGGGCGCAAGGGAGTTTTTTTGTTTTTTTTTTTTTGGGGGGGGGGTTAGGGTCATTGGGAGGTTTGAGGGAGCCGGTGCCCAAATCGTCGGAAGTCAGCTTCGTGTTCTGAAATGTGGCAGTCGACAAAAAACACCCCAGGGACTTCTGTGTTGGAATTAGCCAGAATCATAGGTTTTTCGACTAACCTGC